TTCCAAATAATTTGCCTTTATTTTAAAGCAGTATTGACAAAGAAATGATGGATATTGCTAGATTTTTAAAATACAGTTATGTAGAAAGTTATCCAAGGACATTCAATTTGTCTGTTTTTGTTTATTGAATGCATCGTTTTCCTCTTTTTAGGATTGGTATGAATTAGGGAAGCCCACAGTTTTTTGGCTGTCAGGATTCTATTTTACTCAAGCATTTTTAACTGGAGCCATGCAAAACTATGCTAGGAAGTACAGAATCCCCATTGACCTTCTGGGATATGAATTTCAGGTACAGATAAATTATAATTATATATTTTATTATTCTGGGACCTGGTAATGCCATAGGAATCAGTAAGTGAACCCTTACTGGGATGTTCATTTTGCATGTCATGCACTGGAAGGCAGACATTTAATTATTTGGTAAGGTAAATAGTATCTGTAAAAGAGAGAGAGAAACTGGTTCTATCTGTTGGACCTGGACCTCCACTTGAAACAAAAACAGCCTACAAGGTAAACATTTATGTGTGTGATTAAAGCCTTTGTAACCTGCAGTAAAGGTAACTAACAGACCACAGAAAGCTGCTGTCTTTATGATTTTCTGTAATAGCAGTGCCCAAAGGAAGGTTTTACTACGTTGCTTTCATTGTAGATTGATTTTTTGAAAACTGGCTATTAGTTTAATACCCACAAAAACAAATAGCTGTGGAAGCTTCTTAATACATAGCACTTATTTTTTTTATAGGTTATTCCTCAGGATACTGCTGATACTGCACCAGAAGATGGTGTTTATATCCATGGATTATTTTTAGATGGAGCTCGCTGGGACAGAACCAAGTCAGTAACAAAATATATTAAGTACAGTTTTACTAAGCTTTCTTAGCTGCTCAGATAAAATTTAAGTTTAAGTGTTACTTTACATACTGTGTTAGTAGCACACTTGAAAATATTTTAATTCTTCTTTTGGCCTCAAGATAAGAAAATAAAAGTGGCTTTTTAAATTACTGTTCTGCTGGAAATGTTGTGATGTGCTGATCTGCCGTTTCATACGGTTGTCTGGCAGCCTCAGCTGCAGGTGTATTTCACGCACAGACTCAATTTGTTTTTTTTGTTTGTTTGTTTTGGATTGTTTGGTGGCTGTCCTGAGTCATCTTTGATCCTTTCCTATTCTTCTTTTCTTCCCTACATGAGTGCTCCACCTGCTGAATAAGTGCCATTCTTGATGACTTATTTGATTGCAGTAGTTTTACAGAAAGCTGGACTTCCCTCAGAACAATTGTACTCCTGTGACTATGTGGTTACTCATAAGCTGGAAACACAATTTAAAGTTCACTGTTGGATGGAAGGCGGTTTATGTGTGGAAAATGAAAAGCACGCAGAAAAGCAACGTTCAGCCACAAATAACTATTTGGTTGCTTTCTGTCACCAGGGGAATATTAGCTGAGCAGTATCCCAAATTACTCTTTGATATGATGCCAATCATCTGGATAAAGCCAAGTAAGTACTGAAGACCAATGCTCCCATCCTCACCGAAGTACCCAGATGTACACAGAATTCATGTGCACCTGACCTTTGGCTCTAATATAAAAAATTGTGTTTGCTGTGTTGACTCATTCAGTCTCATCTCACTCAGGCAGTCGGCCTGTCCATCTCTTCACAGGTGTTTGTAGTTATGCAATTGACCAACTGCCTACTTAAGTTAACTATTATAAATATGTGTAGTTGCTTCCCAGTCTGGTTCTCAACAAAGATACAACCTTGGTAGGAAAACTAAATGGTCTTTGAATTTCTGCCTCTTCTCAAGTTGAGGAGACGCTTAAGCAAGACGTTATGTTGCAGCTGTTGCAACTTAGCTGTGAGTAGGTAATTGGCAGTTATACAAAGCTTCTACCTTTTCTGCCTGTACATTCCATTGAATGAATCTGTTCTCAGAAGTGCATGATTTTAAACCAGATTTTTTTGCAAGCTGCATGTAAGCAGTCTAGGTATACAAGAATCATTGAATCTCCAGGGATTTGTATTGCAGTTATGTTCTGTGGCTGCAGGACCAGAATTCGTATTGAAATATTAATTTCAAGATATTGTGTTTCAGCTGTAATCCCAAGATGAAAGCAGAATGCTTTATTTGTGCAGACCTGCTGATCTGTATGTGGTTTTGAATAATTACAGAGTTGGTAGAATCACAGAAAAACATCGATTCTTGAAATCTAATTGTAATTAAATTACTTTTCGTTTGTTCTTAAAACTGAAGAAATCACAAAAGAAAACAACAGAAAAAGCTAAATATTATGGGGCACACAAAACAATTTCGCAATCTTTATTTAGCATTAGGAATGTTGCTGTAAGTACTTAACAATTATATGTAGGTTATGTCCCCATTAGTGTATCTGCTCTACACAGCATATTGCTGTTTTTTTTTCTTCTTTGAAGCTGCCAAATCAGATGTCAAGAAGTGTAACGCGTATATTTGCCCGCTGTACAAGACGAGCGAGCGTAAAGGAGTCCTGTCTACCACTGGGCATTCCACTAACTTCGTCATTGCTTTGACACTCAATACGGATCAGCCAGTCCAGCACTGGATCAAGCGAGGTGTTGCGTTGCTCTGCCAGCTGGATGACTGATCCCGCGTGGTTCAGATAAGATACAAATGTCACAGGATACTTTCCTTTTTATTTGCTCACAGAAGTGCAGCATGCTTTTTGCAGGCAACTTCTGTAGTTGTGGGGTTTGTTTGCTTTTTTTTTTTTTTTTTTAAATCTTAAAAGGGGGTGTGTTTCTGATCCCCAGTATTTTGCCTTAAATAAGTATGTGTTATTATCAGCACCCTTACAAACTGCAAAAGATGCAGGTAGGATTTTAGCCTCTGGTAACAGTCTTAATGTGTAAACAATTTTATGCATTGCACAAATACTACAAAATATATCTTAATGAGAAACAAAAAATGGTCTGTGCTTTCTTTGAGATACCACGAAAGTTCATTGGTTGGAATGCATGAAGAGTGCTGAGTCCTGTGAGCGGAAACCCGGCACACAGGAAGCGTGGGGATTTTTGTGCTGTGTTTCGCACAGCCTGTGCTCTGTCACAACAGTGAAAATTGCAATACAGTAAATTGTTGAACTGTCTGTAATAGGCACTTCCAAGTCCCTTCCTTGCTCAACAAATCCATCTTTTCAAGATATAGTTCAGATTTTTTGATTTACTGTTTTTTTTTCTTTTCTAAATTGTTTCCATTACAGAGAAATGATCGAAATCTCCCTTATTACCACTTGCCTGAAATGTTATTTCTTCTTTTTTTTGTTGCTCCCATGAGGCACTCCAATTTCAGATCCTTCAAGGATTTTGCAATTTAGTTTTCTTAAAAAAATAGTAATAATAATAATTACTCAAACATTTTTCCTTAGATCTCCTCTACTGAAGAATTAGTTCTAGGAGTGAATTAAGCACAGAAAACCCATCTTTCCCATTATATCTAGGCAGCTTCATCCACCATTGCTTTGCTAACTGTGTATTACAGTTATAAGCAGTTTGGGGTGTTCATTTCTGAAACTTTGCTTTTTCCTTTAAAGACTGTATTATCTTTTGTTTGCTTTTCTGTTTATAATAGAATGTAAATTGTGATTTGGCAACCAGAAGCTCATAGTAATTTTCGTAGGGTACTCTCTTGATTTTTGCTTATTTATACTTTCATTTTTATGTAGTTTTCTTTATATACTGCCCTATATTTTTCTTAAAGAAGCTGCTGACAGTGTCTGTAGTTTCCCTCTTAGGAAATCACTAACAATTTTCTTTCTATAACCGAACAGTTACTCTCTGTAGCTCTCAAATTCTCATTCCATGAATTGTAAACAAGAGTATTTTTGTCAATAAAGTGGATTTCTGATTTCTTCTCTTGCTGACACCATTTGTCAGATTAGATTATCAAATGTGACTAACCTGTATGAAAGTAACATGGAGAAAGTCCCAGAGTATCTTATGATCAGTTATTTATAGAGAGCTATTCGTGGACACAGACTCTACAGAGATCATTTTCAGTCCTGAAAATATCGCTTTCAACTTAATCACTTCTTCAAAGTGTGAAGCTTTCTCTCTTTCAGAAGGTAAGGAAAAAACTGCATTTTCTTGATTATTAGGAGAATTAGCACTGAAAAGAAACAAGTGTATGTACACATATTGTGTTGTACATATAATCAAATTCTAGCCATTCCTTGTGTGTGTTTATTCTTAACGTGTTGCTCTTTCTTGATGCATGTGCAATTACAGAGCAAGACCTCGCAGTCACATGTTGCTGGATCAGGTAAATGGTGCAAGCTTGCTGTGAATTGCTGCTGCTTGACTTTAAGATGTTTCTATAAGTGTTGCAAAGTTTCTAAGAGCTGTGTTGACAACTTCCTTTATTTTGCTGTGCTTGCTCATTTTGATCATTTATTTATCCTCACTTTTTATTATATTTTATTTTATTTTATTATCCCGTTCTGTGTTTTTGGCTTTGTTTGTTTGTTACTACTTGTTTATTTGTTTTCAGGCCAGCTCTCTTGAAAAACAGAAGTGGAAGTTTCGATGAGGTGAAAGGCTTGAGTCTAATAGAACTCCTTTGATTTTAATCTCTAATGCCAAGTAGTTGAATATGCAAAAGAATAGTGTGTCAGATAATCTATAAAATGTTTACATCTATGAGTAGATGTGCAGGTATGTGTTAACAAGGAATGAACTGTTGTGGTATATCTGTTCCCCGTGGCTGTAGATGATGTATATGAGATGATATATATGTCTGGTCTTTTTTCAATCAAACAATTTGATGCTGTTTCAATCAGAAGATAAATGTAGCACATAATGTTAGAATGGACTGTTAGCACTAACCTACAGTATTGTTTTTTACTGCAGGATATGGCTCTAGTGATAACTTTGTGGAAAAGGTTGAGGAAGCATATTACCAAAAATCCTGCTAAGGAACAATCAGAGCAGGACTGTGATGTTTGAGTGTATAGTTTTAAGAGGGAAGGGCTACTTAAACTACCTCAAAATTATGTTTTACTTATTTTTGCTGCTTTCCAGTAAGTAATACCAGAAAAAGTAGCTGTTCTGTATGTTCTTTCTGTAGAATAGAGATAAAAGGTAGCATGTGCTGTTGGACTAGAAACCTTTATTATGTTCTAAACAAGACAGTTCTCTCTGCACTGGTCCAAACTGAATGCTTGGCAGAATGCTGGAGCTTGAGTTGGAGAAGTTCTGATTAAGTTAATTTAGGCTGTGCTTTGTTTCTCTTGATACTTAAACAGTGATTGCTGTTTCTATTACTCCAGACATAACCTGAAGATTTAACATCTGCATCCAATTAAAAAGCAGTGTTTTCCTACAAAGAGGTGATCCAGGTTGTGCTGATTGGCTATGCATAATTCTGTTTACATATTTGATGATCATTCTGACGATGAAATCCCCACCCAGCAAGCTATTCAGGAAAGCTTACAAGATATTCATAAAATGGAAAGAAGTGCCAATGCAATAGAGGATGAAAGGTAATGAGTTACTACTTCTATTTTTGTTGGTTTCTTGGCATTATTACATGTCTGACCCTGTCTTGTGGATACCACAGGCCACTTGTAGCTTGTCTGTTCGGAGTTCTCCCTAGAAAAGCATGCCTATCTTGTCTAAAATTTGGAATATATGAAGCTTTCTGGTGACAGCTTGTCTAATAACTAAAAGCCTAATATCTTAATGAATGCAAGGGTTTGTTGAAGAAAAGCAAACATCAAAAAAACCAACAGGTTGGTGTGGCAGCTTTTCCTCATTTCAGTATTTAACTGTTGTCCTTTGCTGGAAAGCCAAAATTTGTAGTGGCACAAGAAGACCTACAAAAATGCATTTTAATGTGTTACACTGACAAAACTCACACAAGTTAAAGAAATCTAATGTTGTTTAGACTTGATTGGCTTAAACTAATGTGTAATTATGAACTGAATGTCTCATTAATTATAGCACTGTAATGCTGTGTTTGTGCAGTTTCCTGTGCGTTGCAAGCAAAGAACGTGAAGAGATAATTGCTGCAATCCGGACAGTTAAGTACAAATACACCACACCACAACCCTCTGTCTAGAAATCACAATGCCCACATTCTGTGTTTGATCAGCTATTTTAAGTGCAGTTTTTCTTTATGTAGTTTTGGAGAGAGTTAGGCAACTGAAAACAGGGCACACAACAGCTAGCTTTTATTAAATAGGAACACAGTAATGGAGTGGGTTCAGATGTCACTCCTCTCTGAGATTGAGGTACTTGGTCTCCTAGAATCAAGGATGAATGCCAGTCCTTTCTTATTAAATTAACTAACAGGATAGCAACGTCCCTATTAGTTAATGCCTCATTAACCAGTGTTTGCCACTTTGTGAGATAACCAGATTGAAATCCCATCTCTACCTGAAGTGTGCCAGAGTTATTCCTATGTGGGAGACTGTTTGTCTGTTCTCTTGAAACTTGCTTTTTTTGATAGAATCACTTTACATATGGAGTCACAGAGATAGCTAAAAAAGGAGCATAAGAAGGACAGCTGTTAGACAGTGGTGTGACAGTGGGAAGCCTTCTGTCCAGTCCGTATACACATAGCAAGTAGTTACAGAAATATTTAGTGGAGTAAGAATCACGACCTCAAGGCTCCTTTAGAAAAGCAGATGCAATAACTGTACCACACAATGCAGAATGTGCCAAGACTCTAGTTAAACTTTGTGTCTAGTCTAATGAATATACAATTCTTTGAAAGCAGTCTATCGCAATACCTTATAGTTGTAGCTAATAGGAGAGCAGACTGCCTTCTTCCAGGAATGGTGGGATAAAACAAACAGTACAGTCAGGACCTCTACTTACAGGCATTCTCGTCAGCTGAAGTTTCATTGCTTCTCCATGAGATATCAAATTGAAAACATAATCGCTTCTGTTAATTAGAATTCCAGTAAGGGTTTTAGTAGAAGCAGGAATGAGTTTCATCTCAGTTGTCAGCTTAATTTTACTTTTGCCAACCTGAATATTTTCCATACAATTTCACTAGGACACCTGTTTGCTTAATACACTAAAATCCTCTGCACTGTTATACATGAGAGGATTGTAATTTAAGTATTTTAGCTGTATTAATTATAAGCAAGTGTATCCTTCAAAATGCTTTGAGTCAATGTGAATCACTGATTATTCCATTCACGTAAACCACCCTTTGATAAAACATTGCTTTGATAAGGTATGGGGTTTTTTTTATTCTTGATATGCTGCTGGGATAAATATCACTCAATATGTTATTTGTTTTAATTTTGTTTTATGATGAGTAATGAAATACACATCTGTTCCAAAATGTCACAGGCCAAGAAGAGGCCTTGAAGAAGTTGGTGAGGCACAGTTCTGCTTTTGAGGAAGCAGATCAGCAAGGCTGGCTTCCTATGCATGAGGCTGCAGCTCAGCTAAATAAGAACATCCTTGAAATAACTTTAAAAGGTATGGGGTGCTTTCTGGTTTTCCACTAGAATGTTTTACAAAGCTAGATTTGATGAGTAACTTCAGCTTTTCTGAATTCCAGCCTCCCGTTCCGTTACATGGGAACAGACCACACTGGGAGGGGAAACACCTCTCATGGTGGCAGTCAGAAACTGCTTTTTGGAAAACGTCCACTTTCTACTGCTCAATGGTTGCAATCCCAATATTAAGAATGAAGATGGAGATTCTCCTTTAGTTGTAGGTGAGTGTCTTATTTGGGGGTAGGGAGGTGAGAGAATGAGGTGAGTTTGTAGTTACATGCAGTAGGTTGCAATTTTACGTATTTGACTTGCGCAGAGTTTAAAATTTTTTGTTATGAGGAGCAAAAAATGTTAATTTCAGCATTGAATGTATTGTTTGTCTTTCTTAAAAGATATCAGGGCTTTAATTGAGCTGACATTCCACGTTAGGGACTGTCACTACAAAGTTCTGAGCATTATTTGTTAATTGAAGTATTGTCCTTTCCCTCACTGTCTTGACAGATCAGGCTTGCTAAGATAAGGACACAGTCATTTTGTATGTGGCACGGTCACTTTAGTCTTTGTTTCATGCTTATGGTAATTGCTTGTGATGATTAACGGAGCAGGCCAGCTCCTGACTGCAGTAAGTGCCCCAGTATGTGATCTCCATCTAGTGGCAGGGAAGGCTGCAACAGGAACCAGCAGAACAGGAGATGATCATAAAATTATTCCTAATTTATCGTACCCTGTAGAGAAGGAACAGACTTGGTGAGAAGTTAAACCTTTCAGCGCGATGTTTCTTGGTGTATAAATAGCAGTGCTGGGAACAGCTTGAGCTTTCCTGGGCTGCCACCCAACAGAAACTAGGCAACAGTCTGACATTCTGGCTAATGCTTTCATTATTTTCTTACAGCAATTAAGCACAATTCATATGAGGTTGCCTCCTTGTTGATAAATTTTGGAGCAAAGGTGAATTTGCCATGTATCCACAAGAGGACTGCTTTACACGAGGCTGCCAGGCTTGGCAGAAAGGATCTGGTGATGCTTCTGCTTCGTTCTGGGGCAGATCCTGATCCTCGCAGTGGATATGGGCTCACACCTCTAGCGCTGGCTGCACAAGCTGGACATACAGAAATTATGGAGCTCTTATTGCAAAAAGGTGAGACGTTATTATGTAGGAAGAGGAGGCTTAGGGCAGGGGGATCTGCCAATGTTAGCAGTATCTGATGGGAGGGTGTTAGGAAGGCAGACCCAGATTCTTCTCCTTGCAAGTGGCAATGGACACAAGTTGAAACCTAGGAAATTCCGTCTGAACACAGCAAAACACTTTTTTTTTCTGTGCAGGGTGTTGAGCATTGGAATAGGTTGCCCAGAGAAGTAGTGGAGTCTCTGTGCTTGGAAATCCTCAACAGCCTACAAGAGCTGAGCCTGGGACAGTATCTTGTCTCTGGAGGGGGACAGTGATTTTTGCTGGATATTTACGGTGACCACTGTGAAAATCCTCAATGCTTCTTTCCAGGTGCTGATGTTCTTTCACAGGCAATGGATTATTCTTCTGTATTATTTGAAGCAGCAGGAGGAGGAAATCCAGACTCTCTGAATCTTTTGCTAGAATATGGGGCTGATGCTAATGTGCCAAAGCACTCGGGTCATTTACCAATCCACAGAGCTGCGTATAGAGGACACTTTCTGTGAGTTAATGTAAACCAAGTAATAGTGAGACCAAAGATATTAATTTTACTAATGTTAAATTTGTAACTAATGGGTAAGAAACAGCTCTTCAACTCCGGGATTGTTCTGTTGTGTTTAAAAATCTAAGAATGTTATATTCCCCTATTAATACATATATTTAAATTTTACATTTAAATGTTGTGTTAATTTGAATGTGTTGTTTGAATGTCAGTAGGATGCTGTGTTATGTTAGTTGTGTGTTGTAGGAATTAATACTATGTTGTGTTAATTCCCTAATTCCTAGGGGCTGTGCAACAGCACAGTGCTCTTGACGTCCCCAGAGAGCTCTCATTGAGAAGGAATGATTATTCTGCTAGCATAGAATGCAGTGTTTGTGAAGAGCAGTATTAAAATTTATGACTAGTAAATGTAAAATCATAGTATCCATTGCTGGCTGTTTTATCCTTAGCAATTAATGCAGAGGTACAGCATGCTGTGGTGCTGATTTGGCAGATTAAGACCATGGAATATAGTCAGAATGAACTGTAAAGCCCAGCAACATGAAGATTGAGCTGTGTGACCAGATTCCCTTATTGTCTTTATTTTTCAGTGCCTTAAAGAATTTAGTTCCAGTTACTAATTTTGATGCCATTAAAGAAAGCGGAATAAGTCCAATTCACTCAGCAGCAGCAGGAGCACATCCTCAGTGCCTCGAGTTTCTCCTCAAGTCTGGGTTTGATGCCAATTTTATGCTGGATCAAAGAATTCGCAAAGGCTACGACGACCGCCGGAAATCAGCCCTGTACTTTGCTGTTTCCAATGGGGATATCAGTTCAGCACAGCTGCTGTTGAATGCTGGAGCCCTGCCAAACCAGGATCCCATCAACTGCCTCCAAATAGCCTTGAGAATGGGCAACTATGAGTTAATGAATTTACTGCTCCGGCACGGGGCCAATGTTAACTACTTCTGCAGAGTGAACACAACGCATTTCCCATCGGCTCTGCAGTATGCTCTGAAAGATGAAGTCATGTTAAGAATGCTGATGAACTATGGCTATGATGTGCACCGCTGCTTCGATTGCCCTCGGGGAGATGTGTCCCATTCCCAGTACGTGACTGATGGATGGACTTCTACTGTTATCAAAGATACAAAGGTGAGTACATCGCATGGCTTCGTATGTTTTGTTTTACTGGTGTCATTCGTAAAGCTAAATGAAAATGTACTTAAATTGATCTGTCAGAAACAAAAGTTTTAAACGCTTTACTCATAAAATTAGGAATAGACAGCGCTTTCAAATTAAATTAACATTGCCACGAGACCTAGTTCATGGCAATAAATTATCATAATCTGTATTTTACAATTGTGAAAATACAGCTAATGACTAGCACAGAATTTGCTCACTTGTCCATGCTGCGAAAGCAGGAACTGAAAGACTGGCTTGCGAGCTGTACTGCATCATGTCACTAATACTGGAAGTTTGATGTAGGGACCCACCTGATAAACCTGGAGTGACCTAAGCAAGTTCCTAGATACACCTCTCAGACCCACTGTTATGCAGATTTTGAAGTCCATTTGAATGTAAGAAGCCTTTATTTAATTTGAAGATCATCGAATTACTTAAGTTTGAAGGAATCTCATCCAGTTCCAACCTCCTGCCGTGGGCTGGTTGCCCCCCACCAGCTCAGGCTGCCTAGGGCCCCATTCATGTCCTTGAGGACCTGCAGGGATGGGGTACCCACAGCTCTGGGCAGCCGTGCCACTGCCTCACTGCCCCGGTACAGAATTTCTTCCTAACATCTAACCTACATCTCCCTCTTGTAGCTTAAAGCCGTTTCCCCTTGTCCTGTGACTGCCTGACTGTCTAACAAGTCAGTCACCTTCCTGCTTACCTGTTCCCATCAAGTACTGGAAGGCTACATTGTCTCTCCAGACTCATCTTTTCTCCAAGCTAAACAAGCCCAGTTCCCTCAGCCCCTCTCCCACAGGGGAGGTGCTCCAGCCCTCTGATCATCTTAGTGACCCTCCTCTGGACCTGCTCCACCAGCTGCACGTCCTTCCTGTGCTGAGTGCCCCAGCAGTACTCCAGATGGGGCCTCACAAGGGCAGAGCAGAGGGGGACAATCACCTCCCTCTCCCTGCTGCCACCCCTCTGTTGGTGCCATCCAGGATACTGTTGCCTTTCCAGGCTGCAGGAGCTCACTGCTGGCTCATGTCCAGCTTTTCGTCCACCAGGACCCCCAAGACATTTGCAGGGCTGCTCTCTATGAGTTCTCCCAGTATATTCTCATGCCTGAGATTGCCTCAACCTTGCACTTGGCTTCATTAAACCTCATTAAATTGGGTGCCTGCTTTTCAAGTGTGTCCAGGTCTCTCTGGATGGTGTCCTTCCCTTTTGTTGTTAGCTGCACCACTCAGCTTGGTGTCATCAGCAAACTTGCTGAGGATGCACTCAGTTCCACTGACACAGGCATGTGGTGCACTGGGCTGGTGGGTCCTGTTTGGCAGGCTGGGACACAGATCTCTCCCAGCAATATCCAGGAAGTTTAAATCTCCTATTGAGGTTTAAGAATTCCTCGTCAGGAATGGTAGCATTCCATTTTTAAGCATTAGGTACCAGATATACAGCTGTTAAAGCTCACTTTTAGTTCTAGCCTAGTACAAAATAACATCTCTCAGATTTTCAGATTGCACTGCAGGCTTGATACAAGCTGTGACAGCCCCTAGAGCTCCTCTAACAGGCACTCCTTCCTGCTGTTCTGCAGTTATAAAATTGCTCTTGTCCTGCAGAGAAGGAAGTAATCTACAGAAGTATTGGATGTTTTCCAATTAAAATGTTTTGTTTCCATCAGTTCTGTGAAGTGATAACCTTGTCATGGCTGAAGCATCTTTGTGGGAAAGTAGTGCGAGTAATGTTAGATTACGTTGATCATGTTAACATCTGCTGGAAGCTGGAAGCAGCTCTCAAAGAACAGGAGCTCTGGCCAGACATCAATTCAATTTTAAGTAAGTATCTGATAGATTTGAAACAGCAGACTAACTGCTCTGGGATTGGGACCTTTTTGTTGGTGCTATTTTAGATTTGTTTTTGTCCCCTGAGGGTTGGTTAAGCCAAAAGTTATGTTTTGAGGAGAAGGTATTTCTGAAAAGAAAATCAGTCTATGTAGTGTTTAATGTCAGATAACTCTGTCTGATAGCTGTGACAGACTGTAACAGCACAGGTTATGTGGAGCAGCTGAGAATTTCCAGTGTAACGTAGGCAATAAAATCCTCTTCAGTAGGAGAAAAGCTTTTCCCTCACCTCATGTTGATGGACAACTCTAATAAAGTAACTATCTAGAAGTGAGAGATTTGAATTCTAGCCTAGCTTAATTCTGTGTCCTTTTTATTAGAACACAGATTAAAAACAAGGACATCAAAATTCTGATTTTTAGTAGCTTCTTGAGGCTGGCAAAGAGCTGGCACCAGTTATTTGGGGTTACATTCCCCAAACTTTACTACTTACACTCTGTAAAATAAGCATAATTTGTTGAGCTAGCCGATTGTCAGCCGATTGATAGCTGATAAAGGCATGGGCTGAGGTCCAGGGCCCAGATCTGACAGGGACAGGCACCCAAGGACAGGCAGTAAAATATGGAGTGGTTTTTGATAGGTGTAGGGCAGTGAGCAGTTGCACCAAATGATCAAGGCACTCATTAATGTCAATCTCCTGGTTCCCAGCAAATCCTCGCTCCCTGAAGCATCTTTGTCGCCTGAAGATACGGGAATGCATGGGCCGGCTGCGTCTGCGTTGCCCTGTCTTCATGACCTTCCTCCCACTGCCAAATTGCTTGAAGGACTACATTCTGTACAAGGAATATGACCTCTATGGACCGGAAAGTTTCTTGGGAACCTCCAGTGTCAACTGCACATAATTATTCTGTATTTTGAAGGGAACGTCGAGGTGGGTAAGACAAAAGTATTTTCTCCTTTGGGATTTTATCTCACGTGTACTGAGACATATATATATATACATATATATATATATATATATATATATGTATATATATATATATATATATACTGAGTCTCAGTGTTCTCCCCCTCATTCCCTGAAATAAATGGCTAGAAGCCCAAAATATAAATAGTGGTGATGCCAGGCTACATGTACACTATAAAGTGAAGGTTACGTGAATGGCTGTGGCCATACCACTTAAAATGCTTTGAGTGAAGATGTAAAGAACCATTACAGTCACCGGTACGGCTCTGAGCCTTGCGTCTGTGTGTGAGGAGAAAGCCTGGCATAACATGTAACCCTACTTTCAATTGCAGTGTTACATTCAGGGCCTTCAAGTAAACGGGATGACAGCGTTTCTGAAATGTTAATTCTGTATCTCATTACCAAGCACTGATACGTCTCATTCACTGTATAGCTGATGATGAGTGTGTCTCTGGACAGCACCTAAAAGAAAGCCAAGTTCTGGAGAGAGCAGTTTTCCAACTTCACCTCCAGTAGGTGCAGCTACAGCTTACGGAGCATTTACCTGAAAGCAGTCACACTTGTCTCACTGTGCACACGCCTGATCCTTCTCAAAAAATGCTATCTATGCTAGTCTGTCTTAAAAAAAAAAAAAACAACAACAGAATACATTTGGTATTAATAGTATTTATTCCTTCATTATCAGTTAAGCATAGATTTTCTAGTTATACATGCATCTGTATTCACTTAGAGTTACATAGTTCAAAAGTCTGCTTTTCTCCAGAAAAATCTACAAATCTTATAAAATACAAATTTAACCGTAATGTAGTATGACCCATTGCTTTTCACATGGTGTCTGTCACGTAATTAAGAAAACTAATGAAGCCAGTGAAAACAGGTGGAGGTACTCCCATCAATAGTTGTGCTGGTATAGCTTCTGTACAAATGAATTCTGATGGTGACCATAACTGCAGCTCCGTACAACGTGCTACACGTTGCCATCTAACAGAGCAACATGTGCACTAAAACAGCCAGCAGAGATAGAAAGGGTTTTTTCTTCTAACGTTCAGTCTTTGATTGTTGCAGAAATTACCAGCATTCCCAAGTAGAGAGACTTCCTCTGAGGAGAGCTGGCTGATATGATTAAAGTTAAGAGAATTGAGATGCGCTTTCCAAGAGAGAGATTCAGCTGCATGTTAGGGCTTGGTTTAATGGAATGTCCTGTCACCAGTAACGGCACACCCAGAATGTCACTACTAGGGAAGAACCAGTTCTTGTATCAGGACAAATTCCACTCAGAAAGTTACTATGCTTAAGCTTTTACGTAACCTACAAAATGCTGACTGAAGTTTTGGCATAATACGTACTATTGGTGCTTCCAAGATTAAGACACAACAATCAAAGCTGAATTAAGTAGGGATGCTACTGGAGGTCTGTAATACAGCTATTCAGGGACAAACGTGTAAGTCTCAAACATTGCAAAAATCACTTACACTTCACTAGAACAGGACCAATCCAGAACATCATCATAAGAATTTGACCACTCCACTGCATTATAAAAGTGACCTGAAAGATTGTACAAAATCCTTGGCTTGCAATATAAACTTCATTAGGAATACAAGTGCAATCACAATGACACACACCAACTTATTCTTGTCATGATAACTTAAATACCACTATGGCATGACAAAAACACAGCTTACTGCTTGGGTAGAAAGAAAAACCTTGGAGATTGATAGACTTGCAAGAAATTCTGTAAAACAGAGCAAAGGAGAGAAAGTAAGATACCAGTTCTTGCTGTTGGACTAAATATCTCAACTGAACTCACTGAGCAGAGGCAGGATTTCTTTCTTTGAGTGTGTCAGCTCTGGAAATAATAAGGGACTGTGCGACAACACAGCTTTCTGCACTGGCTTCTCCTAAATTCTGTGCACCTTCTTTAATTCATCAGACTTCACCTTGAACATATGACCAGTCAATATTTTTCTGCAGTGGAAATAAATTATATCTTTATAAAAGGCTCAGCTGCATCAGGTTTGTCAGCTGTGGTTTTGCATCCATACAAAGATGTCATTTGTCTGCATGTCTCTGAGCTCTTAAATATTACTTGTCTGTTAGTTGGTAAGCTGTCTCGATATAATTTCCAACTTAAAAATATTACAGAAATAACAGACTATCAAATCCACACTTGCTCACACAACACACACATTACCAGGTCTCTGGGACTAAGCTGCATATGACTATCAGCTTGTCCTTGGTATTAGTTACAATGCAATGAAATGCATGCCTGTAGTTTGCCCACACTTCTTATGTATTTTGATATTCACACTGCTACATTCATACAGAACGTATGTAGAGCAGAACAACTGAGAGCAAGAGGCGCATGGCCTACATCGTGTAATAAACTTAACATCCCATTATGCAAGTAGTTTCTGAAATAAGTGCTCAGAAGACCAGTCCTTAAGTAAAGGCAACAGGAAATATGAAACAGGCAAAATAAGTTACGAGAAAGGAAACCAGCCAGTAATTTATTGAAATAACAGGTGGTGAAACCTTACCACAGTCATTCCCAGGAGAACATGAGGTGTTCATATTACAAGTTGTACTCTCAAAGTAAATATTAAGTACTCTAATTTTTTTAATTAAGAAACATGTTTTCTGATGAAGTAGTTCTGCAATTCATAGTTCAAAGGGTATCAGAAAGATTTTCTGAGGGGAGGAGGACATGGATAAAAGCTCAGCAGCTATTCTTTGCCTTGTGGTAGTTTTACCCACGGACCCAGGTGCTCCTCCCTTTAAGTGGCACTGAGTAATTCTCATCCCACTGCTAATTCATTGTAGTGTTCCATTTTAGCATCCTCATCTCCCACAACTTGCCCTTTGCTCCTGCAGCTTTCATCACTTTTCCAGAAGCTTTTAACTCTGTCTTTTTGCTCATTTTATACCAGCAAAACTCTCCTAAACAGCAAAACAAAGCCACCTCATTTCATTCATGCATGTCACTTTTTTTGAAGTGCTGCTCTCGTCGTTTATTTCCCTTCTTTTCAGAGGGTGAGGAGAAAAGAATCATCCACTGCAAGTGAAATGCAACTCGATCCTATGCTGTCTGATTAAGAAAACTACGTTTAATGGTATAGATGGTAAAACATGAACTAAAACTGGAGTAATTCCCATCAGATATCATTTAATCTGAAAAATTTTATAACAGCAATGTTATAAAACCAGATTTTTCTCTTGATTGCCTCCTCATAGTTGTATATTTATGTCCAAAACATAATGGGTGGGTTCAAGAAAAGATAACTCAGCTCTCTGCCCTCTCTCCAGTAAGGCACCCTGTCAGCAGTACCTTTGGATGAGGTTGCTGATCTGTTAGCTGTCTTCCTCCTGGTGCTGTGGCCACTGCAGCTCATCTCACTCTGACAGCTTGGTGACCAGATTCGTGGAACAGATTCTGTGCTGTTGCTGAATTAATTCACCTTTAGCATGTAATCGAGGAAGACACAGTAAATTTGGTGGTTAAAGGTTGGACTAGATGATATTAGTCATCTTCTCAACCTTAATGACTTTATTAATTTGAGCTGTGCTGGCATGTTATTTCATAGAAAATAGAAGTCATTACATACCAAAAAAAAAAAAAATCCAAGAGAAAGACAAACTGAAGCAACTTGTAGAGATAAACCGGCTGCCATGCAAATAGATATAGGCAGGAAAAGAAAAGAAAAAAAGCATTTGCTGCCTTTCTGCATGTTTCTGTTGAAAATAGAAGTAGCCTCTTCTAGATGAGAATGCAAGACTAGATAGGAAGTAAATGCCACTGAAGTTTTTGTTTGTTGTTGTTGTTTGTTTTGAAAGCCTTAGATGTGCACGGTCCATGAGACACTATGAAGGCAACATCTGGCCGCGGGCTGATGCCACAAGGTCTGACTGGATAACAGCAAAAGCAGGTACTTCTGCGAGCTACTCTGGCTACTCTGAGGACGAACGTGCTGAAACAGAAGGAAGAGACCCTGGAGCCTCTCTCTTGCTCAGTCTCCCACTCCACCTCCTCTTTACAATACTGTGAGCGCTTCCACAGCTGCTCAGTCCCTGCTGTACGCTGTGGTGCCAGTGGCACCATGAGAGCAATGCTCCCTTCTCTTTGCTGTGACAGGAGGCAGATGCAGTTGGTTGCTGCATAGAAATGCCTGTCCATCTCCAGCATAAAAAGCAAGAGATTGCCTTTGTCAGCCTACGCAAAACAACTTCTGAGCAATTAAGGACAGTGTTCCTTTTTTGCACAGCCATCTAGCACAGAGGTCCTGAAATTCCTCACTTACTCAGCACCATGCAATTCTAGCTATGAAGGGCTGGGCTGAAAGCCAAAGACTAAAAATGCTCTGCAATGAACTGTAAAACACTCTTAACCATTATAAAACATCTTAGAATATATTCTTCTCTTTCTACATTTTCTGTTATGCTCAGGCCACTATTAGAGAGACATCTGTTCCATTGGAGTTTAGTATTTATAGTAATTAGTGCAAAAATAAATATTTCTTCTTACTTCAAACACGTTTTCTCTTCTGGATCAAAAGATGAATGCACATTTAGTATTATACAAAATAAATATTACACAGGGTATGGACCATGGAGTTCAGGCTTATGAGGTATAAACAGAGACTGCTTTGAAAAATGCGTTAAGAGACCAACTTCAGGATGTAGACTAGCATCGTCTTTTACTTCTCTTTGCAAAAGACAGTTCCAGAGAAAGACTTAAAAAGCTTTAACTCATTTTCAGCAAATGCAGTTACTGGTAGCAAGGCCTTTATGGATTCAGATTTTTCAAGTGGTGGAATTCAATGTTTCTGCAACTCCGTGCATGTTTTTATTGAAAATGAACTCAGCAGCTTACTGCTTTTCTTTACACACTGGGGAAAAACCAGGAACATGGCACTTAGACATTATATTTACTATTTGATAAGGAATTTTTAATGCATTCCTCATGCAGCAAAGTGCAATTGCATCTCTTCAGCTCTTACCTATGTCTGACAAGTATTTTCTTTTATCTCCTGTTCAAAGAAGCCTTTAAATCACAAAAGCCTTTAAATCACAAAAGAAAGACAGCACCATACACTGCAATATGAAACAAACACTATGATCTTTCTTTCTACAACTATTGCACATCCCATAGATGTTAATAAGGATTTTTCTTTAACTGTAAGAACAGTTATGTGCAACAAGTTCTATAAAGCTTAGCACTGTCTTATCTGGACCCCCACTTTTGTTTCCAGCAAGGTGTTCTGCAAAATGCAGTGTAAAGAACAAATTTCAGTACTGCTCAAGTTCAGTGAGAGCTTAAGTTTCATTTCCAAAGCAGTCAATTGCACAGATGAGTACACGGAAAAAAGAAAAATCCATCTTTTTCCCTTCCTGCAGAGAATTCTTTGAGAAAACAATTTTTGAAAAAAAGAATGGTGATGCTACCATGTCTATCTGGCATACAAAAGAGGAACTGACATGAAAGTGGAAATCACTTAATTGAGAAAGAAACAGCAAGGCATATTAGGGTCTAGACATTGTGAAGTTTTTTATATAATACAACAGACCCTCCACCTATATTTCACTTCTTGTAAAACTTATATCCATTATTCCAATTTTAATTTACTAGGCAACCTTAGGTTTCAGATTCCCTTTTCTTCTTTCCATCCTCTCCTAAATCGCTGTCTTCTGACTGGCTGCTGCTAAGGACTACAAACTGTCCTTCTCCACTGCTAGGGTTTGATCTGTTGGAAGCAGCTATCAGTCGGCTTTGCTCCTCTAAGTCCTAATTAGAGAAAGGAGAGAAGGAAATTGGAAAAATCATATTCACGTTAAAGCTCCCTAAGGTAGAAACAAAACACTATTACTAAGATTTGGACATTTGGGTTTCAAAAGTGACATCAGTAGGAAGTCACGTTTAACGCCTCTGTACCGGTAACCCATACAACACAGCAGGTCAGAACTAAGCCTGGCCTACAGCCTGCTGCCCCTGCCTCAGTCTCTAGCTGAACCTTCATCTCCCGTTGAACTGTCTCAGTGCATGCACATGTTTACTTGCAGCCATATATAGGGCAGCTTGTGATAAGTGTTCCTTCAAGCACTGCTCTCAATATGCCTATGAGGATGTCTGGTTGTTCATCTCCTCAGAAAAACTCTTCTGAAGAACTGTAATACTAAATTATACAGGATCTGCGCAGAAAATACTTCAGCAATTAACCTGATTCCACAATACTCTATCTGTGCTAAAGAATGTGATACTGCAACTGGAACTACAGAGCTACAAAACTAAACAGGAAAAAAACACAACAAAAACAGCATGAGAAGTAAGAAAAAGTAAGAAAGTGTACCTTTTCAATTTGTTTTTGTTTAGTCAGTTCTTTTTGTTGTTTCTCTTTGACCCTCTCCATTTCTTTTTGCTTTTCCGATGCTTTTCGATCCTGAAGAGCAAAAATGACAATAAAAGAAACAACTGCCTAGGGGGCTTGATATGCTGTGGGCTTATCTGAGTTCACTCAAAACTGCTAGGACACCTGATTATGCTTCTTTTAATGGACAGGTATGTTTGTTAAAGGTAAAAAGCAGATTCCAATCTTGAGTATTGTTCCAAGGCAGACACTGGTGATTGGTCTTTTTATCTTGGGCTCAAATTCTATAAAGCAAATCCTTTTGAGTTCTCTACAACAGCATTACTGCGTCCATAAGCATCTTGCAGACTATATTCTATTACACACAATAAATATGCCTTCTCCCTTCCTTTCACAAGGATAGTGTCCCCTAAAGAGATTCTTACCAGTTCTGCATGGAAAGCAATCTGTTTCGCCAGTCCAACGGAGTCACAAATCTAAATACAAATCAGATTTGAAATCATCTGTAAGAATCTAACAAAAATGCCTTTAAAAGCATGCCATGTTCCCAAATGAGGTATGATAGCATGCTAAAGCATTTTACAGTTACTTCAACTACTGGGTTAACTTGTTTTCAGTACATAAACTCTCTCACAGAAACCACATAGAGAGCTGGAATGGAACTAACACCTTAGAATCCATGTCAGAAAATGACTGGAATCAGAAAATGAAAATGGATACGAATATAACCATCACCAATACCTTTTCCCCTTCATTATTTGATTCAAAGATATAGCAGATGGAAGTTTGTCGACTGTCAGCTCTCCCTCCTGAAGTTCTAAGCACAAATCCAAAGAGGCGCTTATTCTCCTGGTGTGTTGCATACAAGACTACATTGGGCAAAGGAAACTGCCAGAAAGGATCAAATAGAGACATTAAAAGTGGTTTCAGACATTCTGCACAGATTTTCACTGCACTGCATGTTACTTCAATATCAAAAACACACAACCTGAGAAAGTTACAACCTGACTGAACATGTAATTGCCAAACGCCAAACAGTGGGTTGGAAGGGAATTACTGCAGATAAAAGGGCATTACATTTGCAATGACATTCAGTCGTCTTTCTAAATGTGAACACTTCTTTAAAAATTTTCTTTTAAAAGAGGCATCTATACAAGCTGCATTTGTGAGCAGCTGCAAAGCTCTCAGCATTTGGTGCCAGCTCAAGGCTCTTTCCTATAACATTTTCTGCAAGAAGTTCAGCTCTCCTGAATCATGTAAGCAAGAAAAAAAAAAAAAAAAATTACATTTCTGTATTATTTCAAGAAACGTGCTTTGTATTCTCAATTCCTAAAAGAAGTTGAACCAGAAATTTCAAATGAGTCTTAGCATAGAAGTAAGCTTTCAAATTCTGAAGGCCCCTACTGCAGTTGTTACACGCTGACAGCATGGGAGGAACACACGTACAGCACTCCACTTGCACCCAGTTCTTTATCTCGCCTGTAAAAGCTCACAGCTTTGGGGCAGTTCTGAACTTAATGCCACAAAGAAAGAAAAAGAAAGGAAAACTATGCACTGTTATATGAAGAATATTTCATATGCTTAGCATTTCCTTTGATGGAAATGATAACAACTTAGGGTCCCTGACAAATTGAGCACCTTTATAAGACCCAAATAAATTGAATTACCATAAACCATGCAGAGACAAAGAGAGGGGAGGCATAGTTTTGAAATACAGAAAATAAAGACTGCTATTAATGAAGAATTAAGTCAGCCATGTTTGATTCCGCATGAAAATCCCACCTATTTTTTCATGTGCATTTACTGTAAAGAACAAACCAGCACCCTGCAACACTGTACAGTTGATTACAGAAAAAACAAAAACCCAAAACAAAAGCAAACAAACAAACAAACAAAGCAACAAAAATGTTTTGGACTTCTGCATTCGTTCCAATCTTAATTCTGTTTCTCTACCAATTGTATCAGCCAGACTGTTAAAATAAAATACTCTTATTTTCCTAAGATTCTACCCTATCAAATCGGGGGAAAAAACGTTTTAAAAAGCTTTTTTCTCCTGCTGAGTTCACTCCCCTTAAAGCCAATGTTTGCATCAGCCTCCCAGTTTCTGTGGAGATCTGTCTGGAAATCTCATGCTGTCAGTGATTTCTGCTCACATTTAATAATATTGCATAAGAAGTAAAAGAATTACTTTGCTGGGTATTTATCTTAAAATGTAAAGTTACTTACTCGTAGTCTTGTAACTTGTGTCTGTGGATCAATTAACCTAAAAATTTGGTTTTAAAAACAAACCAGAAAGTAAATTTTACCAAAGTGAAAAATGTTCCGTCTGTAAATAAACATCAGTACAAGTCAGGAAGGAAACTTACTTTAAGCAGTCACAAGTGACTAATAAATGGGATTCTGTCATCCTGAAAATGTTATGGATGGCCCGAGCTGCTAGGATTTGACGCATTGTTTCATAAACAACATCTGGACTTTCATCAGACTTCACCTCCATAGAGCCAAGAAACCTTACAATGAACAACTGATGAAGAATTGAATCTAAGAGAAACAAAAGTACTGAGTAAGTGAACTCCACGTGGGGGCTTCTGTTCAAAACTACTTCCAAGACCAAAGCTGTACTCAGTCAGGAAAACACCAGACTTCCAATAAATTGAAAAGAGACTGTGCTCATGAATTACAGCTACAATTACTGCACAGCAAGATACGTATCTTTCATTTCAAGAATTCCAAAAATGCAATAAAATAATTTCATGTCATATAGCAGAGAACATGAACCAGGACTTTCAGACAGCAGTCTGATTTAACTGAACTTGTCCAATACATTGCTAATGTAACGTAACTAACACTCTAAAACTGGTGGTAAACAAGGAGAAAAGGTGCAGGTGAACATACTGAATCAGTTTGTAAATTCTCCAATTCATTTTGCATTGAAGTTTTTTTGTTTTTTGTTTTTAATTACCTTCAGTTTCAGATTTTGAGCCTCCCGTTTCACCAAAAGGATTTGTGCGTCTATTAAAAAATGAAAACATTAAACCAGGAGTCAGCTTACAGGAACCACTCATGAATAATGTAGTCTCATGCTGCATAAAATGAGAACAAGATCAGGACTTCACAAACTTGTAATCTGGAGGAGTGACCCATGATAACGGCAAGCAATTTGTAAGGGCAAGAAATTTAACTGGGAATAAGACAAAGTGTCAAATGATGGGGAGCACAGCAGGTATTACTGTCCTACTGCTGCCACAAAGAGTTTGGCTCCCATGGCATTTTTTATACGTGAATTAAGCCCAAGGGAACGAGGTGTGACAGAACAGCTTTGGGAAATGCAGCCAAATGCTGCTCCTTTCACTACTCCAAAGGAGCACCACAGCTCTTAGCACTGTCTCAAGTTGATGCATTACTTACTTAAGAAAAGTCACTGGTTTTATTTCAAATGCAGCTTTCTGAAAACACCACTGGGGTTTTACTCCTAGAGGGTCAAGAGAAATATGGCCGTTTCTGGCTCTCAGAAGTGCCATCAGTTACAACAAAAAGTGAAAATACTCTAGGCTTCCAAGTCTGTATTTTTAAAAGCAGTAAAGCAATGCTGAAAAGAACATGGAGAACAGGGAAAATAGTTAAAATAAACTCATCAAGTGCTCATAAACTTTGAGTTAGGTTTTATAGGGGAGTAATGAATGCACCACCTTCTTTATTTTTAAGTGTTCTAAAAGCAAATTTCAGAACTAAGTCAGAGAAAAATTATGTGAATCTCTCCTATTTGGTGGAGGTTGCATTGCTACAATGCTTAAATAATGAGGGCTCCATTAAGAATCCTCCCATTGAAATTTGACCTGTGTAAAAACACTACACATAAATTCTATTAGCAAGATTTTTTGCTTGGACTTGTCACTCAAGACTAGATGGGAACAGTAAATACAAAATCTCACGGGATCTCACAAAATAAAAAGATTATGTCATCAGCATCAGAAACTAGAGTAAGTCTATGTACTATATTTATTAAAATTTGTTTTACAGTAGCATGTAGCATTCTGTACCAAACACTGCAGTTCTTTACTGATAGAATATGCAAAACTGTGAATCATTTCTGTATGAAAAACACAACTTTCTAGAATTAAGTTACAACTGATGACATGAATTTAGCTGAAGTATAAAGCTTTCCACTTCCTGGAGTACAGTTCAAGATTGATTTTAAAGCAGTATGTTCTTGATGGTGTAGTTAACCAACTGATTATTCTGCTAAAACAAACAACAAAGAACTGTCCAGCGGGGGAAAAAAGGTTGCATGTGTACCATTTTCTCATATATAGGAGTTAAACAACTAAAATCATTTTTCTAGAGGGCAGGGGAATACAGAACACACCATTGTGACTTTTTGTCTCTTACAAGAGCTGGAACTGCAAATATATTTTCTTAATATCTGAATTCTGCACAAGTAGTTCCAGAAATGCAGTGCTGATTTACAGCTTTTTATTATCATTTGTCTATGGGAAAATTGAAAAAATTGAAAAGGTTTTCCTATTTTGGGAAGAGCTCTTAGACAATTTTAACTTGTCTATATGTGAGATCACTCTAGAAGCCTAGATCATTTTCACTCACCTTTCAGTTTAAGAAGAGTGTCATCGTATGCCATCATCATCTGGAGGCAGGGCTACCAAATTTCTCTTGAATTTCCAAGAGGAAATAACCCAAGCTGCTGGGTGAGCAAGCAATAGGAAAGGAAAATACTTTGTGAAACCAAATTATTGAAATAAATTAAAAAAAAAGCATTAGCTGTTAAAGCGAGAAGAGCTGCTGCAAATTAGAAAACAACATTTTGAATCTAATGTATGTAAGTCACATTTTATAACTATATTTAACAACAACTTGTTTTGCTTCACGGTTCACTGTAAATCTGTAAATTATTACTATTTTAAAACAAGAAAGAATAGGGACAGGCAGTGGGTGTGTGTGGAGCTGCAGCCTAACCGTGTTTTTTTATATATTTTTTTAAATTTACATTTAATTTAGGACTTTATTTTTTCTTTCTACATTTCCTACCTGCCTGACTGCCCTGAAGACTTTGCTTGACCAGGCAGATCTTCACTAACTGGAGATATTATGTCAAATTGAATAGGAGTGTCAGGGGCAACAAGGGAATCCAAGGACAGCGCAGACAGAGCGGCGGATTCGGAGCCCAGCGACCCCGTGCTGCTGGTGCGCGCTGCGGGCGGCCGGGGTTGTCTGAAATGGAACAAAAATGAGAATGAAGGCACCTGAGCTTCAGGTTGGTTGACAATCAATTAAACCAATGGGAGATGAATACAGTATTCCAAAACAAAACAGAATCTAAAAACCGAAGAGGATAAGATACCGTCAAATAATTCCATTTATCTGGCTATACATTCCAGACCAATTTAAGTCAGTTATAGTTACTGTTGGCATTAATAATGCCATCAGATTAACATCAGTGTATAATAGCACAAAATACACTGCAGTCTAAGGTCTGCTTCCAGGAATTGTACACATTAAATAAAAGCATGAACACAGATTACAAACCAACCAGATGTAATGCAACAAAACTTTCTAATGGGCAAGAAATCCAGATTGTTTGTAACTAAACAACACTAGCAAGGCAGTTTTGAGAAATGTTCTGAATCTACCAAAGCTTTCACTCTGAACATAGAAAGCATAGACAGAGGGTTTTTAATGAATTTTTTGTTGTGGATCGTTTTTGGTTTTTTTTACTGGAACTCAATGCAAGATTCTTTTCAGAAGTGCTCTTCCAATGCCCACAGTTCAGCAGCTTACACAGTTGGACGCATGCTCTCGTGCCTCTGCTGAAATGAAGGCGACGGAGTAACGGCCTCGAGAGCTGACTGGTTTACACGCGCAGCAATTTCCTGCAACAAGTAAATGAAAACATTTTCCTCAACATGCAGTGCCAGCTCTTAGCTACAGATACAACTGACAGAAGTTCTAAACTGTCCCCTTTCAGTAACGTATTTGTAGCATCTTCAAACTTGTCACATTTTGTGCTATTCACTTTCTACACCTGAGTGAATGCACTTGCTTCATAATGCTGCAATCTGTCTGATAAAATAAGCAAACAGCTACAGTAAGAAAAATAAAGATATCACTTAAAAAAAACATACCTCTCAACTACTAACAAAACATAAAGACTCAAAAGTCTGCACTTGAAATCTGGGAACGTTTAAATGTTTCTTTAAAACCAAGACAGGAATGACTATCAAAATAACACTAAGTAACAATGTCATTTCAGCAAATAATAGGCCTTTTAAAGTTTAAGAATTCAATTTTATTCTTTTATTGAAATTACTGATTCAGAAGTATCAGTATTTAATATTGATGGCTTTACTTGACGAGGTACAGCCAACAGAAAAAGTCCTGAAATAAAGAGGATTTTGGAGAGGGAACATACGGGAGACAAAGCAGTGAAGAAGCAAAGTTTTGTGCAAGTAGTCAGAAAATGAGAGTATAAAACCATTGTGAAGTGAGAAGACAGTGATATCATAGGAAATAAGAGCTGGGAGCAATCTGTTTTCAAGCAGTACTTTTCAGAAGATATTTCCACCCTTCAAACAAGTTTTATTCATAACCCTAAAGCCATCAGAACTGTAGAAAGGCTTTGAAATATTGAGTTCTAGTTGTTCTACAGGAGTCACAGATCTTATTATTCTCTTGGATTCATGCACAATGTAAGTAAATACACCCTCACTGATCTTTGCACTCCTCTACGCCTGGGCTGAACAGAAGCTCAGCTTTGAACTCATCAGAGATGTGCCTTCAGCAACAGATCCTGGTGTTATTCAGCTGCTCTAACCACAGTGCTCATATCTATGATGGAAGCACTGGAAAGCTTCCTTTCACATAACCCAGTTCCATGCTCTGTTACAAAACAACAGATTTTGTTGGGCCAACTCCCCTGGTTTAGGGGATAATGGTCACGGCTTAAGTTTATATAAGTCTATAAATACAAAGTGTAGAAATAAAGTTATGACACCAAACTGTACATGTACACCCATTTCTAAATCTTCAAAAGTCAAATAACTTTTTCATGAAGTGAAAACATCTTTCCTGCAAAATTACGCTTATCTAATTCACCAAATTCCAGTTTGCTCTGATATAAATTCCATGTATCCATCCAGGTAGTTGTCATATCCATTTGCAACAAACTATCATCTATCAAATACAAAAAAGGAATCCTGAAGCTGTCAAAACATTGTATCAAAGACAAAAGCCACATAATTTTTACCCTTGCTACAGAAGCACTTCAGAAGACTGAAAGAATTGGGAGTATGCTCTCATAGATCTGAACAGCCACACAACGTGAAGCCTCAGATGAGACATGTGGGAAGCACTCAGTCCTGTGCTATCCAGTTGGACCAGTTAATCTCTTGGTAATTTTGTGTGTAGCTACGTATGAAAGTATTACTGATGTGATACATTTTGGTGACATTTACCTCAGGGTTTTCACTTAGATATATCTGTTTAGATATGTTGTTTATTGTGCATATCCACTGAAAAAGAGAGGAAAAAAGAAAACATTAGATTTGTCATGGCTTCTTTCCAAGGAGTTTGATTAAATACCCCCAGCACCGGTTGCTTTCGGCACCTTTTCCACCTCATTTGTAATTTCAGGGCCAGGCTAACACAGCCCAGCCTTAAAAATAGCATAAAACACTATTTTATCCCAATCTAACAATAAAGATTGCAGAGAAATTCCAATTCAGGCTGAATGTACCACATTTTCTGTATTTCCTTATTCAGCTGTTCAACCAAACCCACCTTAAAGGGCTTTTAGAACATTTTTTTTTAATCCCACTCTGTTATGGAAAAGGATTTAAATACAGTAATATTTTGTCAGACTTCCTGATAGTTGTTCACTATTTACTGCCTGAAGAATACAAAAGGTGCACTCCAACTAGTTTTATTAACGTGTTCCCTTCCATGCAACAGAAAACTCAATGCCACGTGAAGCTCCTGAAGCTTACCTCCTCATAATCTTTTTTACTCTCTGCCTGTAAGATCGAAGACCTGAAAGAGAATGAAAACCAAAACTTTGCCTATTAGAAATGAATCACCTGTCCTTTCAGACTCAAAATTCCCTTTTCATGTTTGTACACTGCGCAGAGAAATAAGTCTGAAGATTCTGTGTACTGAGCGCAGACAACATGTAACTGGGGAAAGAAAATCCATTTCTCTATAACCTCTACAACATCCATCCACTAACAGCAATAAAAAAGCTCATCTTTCTTGCTTAAGAAAAATATTTTTCCATTGTTTTAATTACGTTCAAACCTGAAAAATGAGAGCCTTCTCCTAAGACATGCAGTACTGTATCAAAAGCTTCAGCCTTTCAAAAATATGCAAAAATATACTAAAGTTAATTGGAGCAATACTTCCTGAGCTGAAGCTGAATAGCTTTTGTTCCCTGAAGAATTTGTTGGCCATCAGAGAAAACAGCCAGCCTCATTCTGATGGCATCAGCATCAGGTTTAAAACAGACAAAAGTGTGAAAAGCGAAGGCACTGAGCTTACTGGGGGGTTTTTTTTGGTGTTTTATTTTATTTTTTTAGAGTTACTTCATTTATTTCGTATCTACTACTATTTTTCAGGCTGTTTTTCAATTCCTGTATGTTACCATCATTTTTGAATGGAAGCTACCTTATTCTGATATATACATAATCTGAAAATAATAACTTACTAAGCAGTAAAAAATTCATTGTGACACACTTGTTTTCTCTGATCAGATGGAAAATATGTCATCATATAGACTTCAGAATAGGTATGGTTTTTGCTCACTGAGAATTTAAGATAGAATTAAACAAGTGATGACAGCACAGGAATGTATTATACCTAGGGTAGATACAGGTGTCTTGTTCTATTTCTAACCATACAGTCCACTGAAAAGTCATTTTGAAATGAATTAGCATTTAAATACATTCAAGCCATTGTTTTACAGCATAACACTTAGAAGTTGGATATAGGCTTAATGTAAGAGTTAAGCAGAGTGGTGAATCCACGTTGTGCCATCTTCATTAAAATGACAGACACTCTGAACCTCAAGGTTTAATCTACTAGTCTTCAAAATACTTCACAGGAACTATCCACATGATAAAGAGAACAGGAATTTCCAAGACTGATTTTCTCTAACAAGCATCCAAAGCATTCTATTAAACTTGCCTTATTTATTATTTCCCAAATATTAGAATTTACAAAACTAATTTCATAAAACGACCAAAACTACTTTTAAAAATCCCCAAATCAACAAGAAGGTAGCATCAGGAGTTTAATATAGCACTACAAATGATCTCATATGATAACATTTCACTCTCTCAAAGTACTTGTTTCAGATGAAATAAAAACTGCTGTGGAGCTGCCCAGAAAAAGCTGGTCAAATTTTAAGCCTTCTCTTTTCCCCACAAATTATCTTCAGTTTGAATTTCTACTTGAAAGCTACGGGTGTGACACCACTGTGAAATGAATACTGCAATTTTATTCTGAAGTACCACTCAGCTACATCAGCAGAAGCTGCTAGGGAACAAAAGCAGCATCACAATAAAGATAGCAGACATCCCAGACTGAGGTTCTAAACACACTCCAAACCCATCAAGCTACAATCTGTCTGGAGTCAGAGCATTTTTCTTTTCTTAAGTAGCAAGTACTTTCTCTTACAGATAAAACTAATGTAAGAATACTTACTTTTTACCATCAAAAGATGTTATTTGAAAACAGTACCGTCTGTCTTCGCAGTCCACAGCCATCACTGAACAATTGTCTATGTCCATGACAAGTCCCCCAGCCACATCTCCTCTTGCCTGGCTCATCAGGTTTCCACCTTGAGTGAAGTAGAACTGTCTCTCCCAACTGGAAGATACCAGCCCTGTTTTACTAGAACATGAGAAGGGATTCCTGCTTAGTAGGTTAGGAGTTTAGCTGAGCTCTATAATTAGAATATTAAAAAAAAATTACACGAGCACGCCACATGGGCACTTAAAAACATCCTCATGTAATGTTTTAGGTTAGCTCTACAGCTAAATTAGTCTGTATCTGTTGCATACTTATTTCAAATGCACTGCTGGGCAAAGTTTACAAAAATATTCGCTTTCTTAGATTTAATGAGACTGTATTGAAATTAAAAAGACATCAGTTCTTTGAATTTGATTTTCAGTTTTTATAGCACTGCTTTATGAAATGTGCATCTTCAACTGATACACATTATCAAAGTATTTTATACCATCTCCAAACTCTACTTTCACTGGAAAACTTGAGGTAAGCATTAGCTAAGGTACGTAAAATACTTCAATTTTCCAAGTATTTTCTATCATTCAGTAAGATTATCAAAGTACTGCTTAGAGCACGTTTGAGTTCCTTTTCCCCCTTTTCTTCCAGAAGAACAACAAAGGAACCAAAAGTCAGTAATGCTTGTGGTTTAGCCTCCCTTGTCGTTCAGATACTCTCTTCCATATTAATTGCTGCACTTGTGCTCTATGGCAGGAATTCAGGTCTCATTCAAGTGAGTATAATATAATGTAAAATTAATTTAACTTTAAAAAAAACCAGCCTGCCTGTTTGGAGGTTATTATGCAGACTACTGAAAAAAATCTTACTGTTACAACTTATTTTCAACCACTACAAATGACCTTAATAGCATAAGAGCTCCCTCCATGGAGGAAAGACTGCCTCATGAAACGGAAGGATGTTCAAGGTGTTTTTAGGCAGCAGTGGTTTGCCCTGTGCAACTCAAGCTTGTTGCATTTAATCTCTTTAATCCTGGAGCTTTATTGGATATTTATACAGAAATACTTCCCACTGCAGTCTTGTTGATTTGCAATTACAATCCAGTGAAATTACACTCTCATAAATAAGGGAATCCAACAAAAGAAACAGAACAGCTCTGATGTGACTTTGTACGCTCACCTACATACTTAAGATCAGCATCACTTATTCCAAAACAACACAGCATATGCTCCAAGCTTTCCCAAAGCTAAACATTTTTTAAGATTTAAGTAACCAGTCAGTCTTACTTCCTTGCATTGAGATAGCCAGCTTTCCGTGTCAGATTTCTATGGACAGGAAATTTTGCAGGATCAGGATCAGGCAAATAAAGTGGATCACTGGCTACTTCCAAGTCTTCTATAGTTTGCTGCATGTTCTCTATTTCACACTCCATTTCCCTGCGAACACTAAGGTAAGTTATGTGTTACTAACAAAGACAATATATTGCTAAGTGGAAACAGAAAAATAATTGTGCAAAAAAGTGCAAAATTTAACAACTTACTTTTGCACGCTTGTGCCAATGTTGGTGAGAAATTCTTCCAGTTGCTCAGTGAGATTTTCTGAACCCATTTTAAAAAAACTTATCTTAAAAAAGGAGGAAAAGGGAGAATTTCATCATGAATGAAACTAAACAAACCAATCAATAAATAAATGATAGGAGGTTAAAGCTTCAAAAAGAAATCTGGTTTTCTTCCTTATTCCCAGCAGTCTCAGCAGGAGGAGCAGAATGCAAGTTTTTGTCTCCAAGTGAAGGTAGATGTTGACATTGCAAAGGAATTTAATTTCACTGAGAGGATGTGAACAGAGCAAGTGAAATGAAATATGTGACTGTAGAAACTTGTCTGGGTCAGTCCTCTAACTGTGGATTGTGCCGGGGGGGGCAGACAATACAATCTTAAAACATTTCATTCTGTATTGGTTGAGGAAAACTGCCATGTAAGTTCAATTTAGCCATATGAAACTTCAGAACAAGAAGCCACGGTGGGGGCAGTCCTACCATTCTGTTCTCAGATTCAGTAAAAAGCTGCACCTGAGCAACAGGTTGCACTGCCTACCTTGTAAAAGAAAAGAAAACACTGAAAGCTTAGTTATTTTGTACAAGCTCCGAATTCTCCAAGGGAAGCAGGAGTTCTTGGACATGGGAAAGTCTTAAATGTTGTATAGAAATTAATTCCTACACTCTATCCAGATGCTAGAATGCTTCCAAAAAGCTTTCTCTATAGCACCCGTCCTAAAATAAACCCATTATATTAAAAAACTCAAATGAGAATGATCTTGAGCATTCCAATTCTTTCACACCCTTGATTAGAAACAGAAAAGATGTGATTTTGATAATTATCTCAGAATAGCTGTCACAGGAAAGAGCTTATCTGCCTCCATGTTAATTTCTAAAAAGGTGCACTTTTATGCAGACCTGCATGCATGAAAGTTTTAATCAGATATTTCTGACTGTGAGCCAGTGGAGAAAAAAACAAAACAAAACAACAAGCTAACAGAGAACAGCACCAGCAACTGAGACGTCAAATTTAGCCATCTAGAATTTGGATTACAATTAAATCTTTCCCAGACTTCCCCAAAAGATACTTCAATGGGAGCATGTCATCATGAGATTCAAAAATGTCCTACAGAACTTTGAACAGAAAATGAATAGTGCTAGGGCACTTGGCAACAAGTATGACAGCTACCGGGATGGAGATGGGGTTTGCTTCCCTGGATTCTAAAAAGAGGTCTTGCAGTGAATTTCAGCAGCTCAACTCTCATGAACTACTCTTACATCTTCTTTCAGACCTACAGCTTACAGAATGTGAAATTACCTGAGCTTGCATGTATCCTAGCAAGGGTTCTAATACGGCAATTTTCTTCTTGTACTGAAGAGTATTTAATGCACAGAAATAATGCATCATAGTCTGATGCTGTTTTTTCCTGGAAGTATACACATCTTCTGTAACTTCAGCCTTGATCTGAAGAGATACAGACAAGGAGAGAGGAAAAAACGAATGTTTCAGTCTTGGTATTTATCACATGCCTTCTCAACAGCTTTATAAACAGCAAGAAAAAAAAGAAAGAACAATACAGTAATGTTCTAAGCTCAGCATTAACTCTCGTGCGCTGCAATTCCCTTTCTGTAATTCACAGATGAGGATGCATGAAAAGTACATACAGCAGCACACACAGTAGTCAGTTCGTTACAAAACTGGACTACAGCACCACAACCTCCACCTTCTAACTTTTTCAGTGTATTCAAAAAAGCTTATTTTTGTCTTCTGAAACAAACTGTCCGCAATGCTAAAACGTCAACTACCCAAGTGCCAGCTGCTGTACATTATCTTTCATCACAAATACATACACTAGACAAAAATTAATTCTTAACTTCTCTAGAAGTCTTCTTACCAGCATTTTGTTTTACAAACCTTTTCATTTTCCCTTCTTTTTGACAGCCGGCTGTATCGGATAATGGCAGCATCATGGTCTAAGCAATGAAGAGAGAATAAGGGATCGTTTTGATAAGTTGATCACTTATGAAACAGAGCATAAAAACTTTCATATCCCCATGTCCTGCATAGCAATTCAAATACAAAGTTCTGCCATAATAAAGCCTTTAATAATTCCTCTTGCTTCTTCATAATTACTACATGGCTGCTAACACTTGGGCTGAAGGTAAATTCTTACCAATTTCTCTCAAAGTCTGAGAACCTGACTCAAAATAGTGTCAACTGTCCATGAAAACCTCTAACTCATCTTTTGCACTTCTGAAGCAATGAAGCTATCTATGTGAAGAAAAGGACGTAGCAGAGCAAAAGCAACTACTGACAATTAGGAAGAAGACTATCAGACAAGTATTAGGGAGATGAGATTTGTATTTTTCAGTCCATTTTAAGTCCTGAGTTTAAAAAGTAAGCTAACACCTTACTCTTCACGTTAATTTCGGAAGCATAATCCTAAATTATTTTATAACTATATACACATGTAAAGTATTCTGAGGAAGACTAATGTCTATTTGCCTTTATGCTTTGGTCCACAAAGCAGAAATTTACAAGGTGTTCAATGATAGCTGGCTGCCTAAATATCACTGAAAACAAATAACAGCGTAATTACTTTGGGCCTCCCAACCATCTTCACTCATTTTCTGAATAACGATTCTACAATAATGCCATTGTATTGCAATATCTGCAACATTGACTGTTGTACACTTACCATTGCTTGCAATTTGGAAAACTTCTTTCAGAGTTAATATCTCTACAAAACAACACATCACAGTGAAGTTATTAGCATACATACAGATACAGATACACAACGGCTTCTCACGCCACATTTCTCTGCTGCACAGGTGCAGTTCATACCTCATACCACACTAAATCATCAGTACAGGCATCTGCAGCTGGCGAAGTCTGCTCCTACTTTGGATCTCAGTACCATTTACAAAAATAATACTGTAGTGTAGTAAGTTAAGGAGAAATTTCCAAAGACTTTGAAAAAGATAATCAGTCCAAAAGCAGCACCTATTGTTCTGCTCAGGCTTTGGTCCTAGCTGGGGAAGTGAGAGCACAGAAGAAGGGGAAGTATCAGGAAACAGAAAACCCCACAGCACTGTGATTACTGCTATATGTGCAATTTCTCCTACCTAAAATTAGTCATGTTTTCCAGTCTCAGTCAGGAAACAGAAAACAGTACAACACACAGGAAAGCTTGCTCTAATCTTGACTGCATTTCTGTGTCACTTCACAACATAAACTAGCAAAAAGCTATGATCAAGTTTACTGTAGAGCAAAGACAAAGAAAAAAAGTATGCAAAAGCTTTAAAGAAAGTATCTGTGAAGTACATAACGAAGTACTGTATAATTTAATGATATGTTAGCTGGTGTTTAAAAAAAATGCCAGCAAGAAAATTTCATTTGCTATTATTACCTCTTCAGAAAATACTGATAGGAGACCTTCCCAGGCTCTAAGCAGTAACATTAGCCTTGAAAAATTCACTGTTGTGGACCCAAGTTGCTTTGTTTTTAACTTTGGTTTATTTGAAATCCATTTACCATACCAGCCTCTGCAATTTAGCACACTGAGTAAAGTCTATCATATTTAGTTCTACTATTTTAGACCAGGCAAATTAAGCCAGATCTGTTAACAAAAATTAAAAGTTCTTCATCTTTTGCTTGCGCTTAGAAATTATTACCAGTAGGGTAAAAGAACCACCTTAAACCTTAGCAGGTTTGAAACAGTGATTGAGCAGCTGGTTGGAAGGCAGGGCCAACCCAGGGGAGCTCAGGTGCACGCAGTGCAATTGAGTGAACAGAAGAGGTGGAGTGGAGATCCACCCCTTCCCAGACCTCATTTAAAGACTGGCAGTGGAGGTAAGGACACCTTACTGGAGATGCCTGTGTACCTGAGGCCTTCTAAGGGTAAGCAGAATATTTTCCTTTGTTTCTATGGCTTCTGCATTTAGGCTTATCCTCACTCGCTGTAGCCTAGGACTTTGCTACCCTGCTACTATTGCTGTGCTTTCTATTGCATTATTAGTGTTACAGTAATAAAGGAAAAACTACTGTTTTGGTGGTTCATCTTTTGAATTTGATTCAGTCAGTATGTTTATGCTGTGATGTTTGTATATATACAACTATTTCCTGAACTTGCAAATTATCTGAAAGTGTTTGTAGCAACTCCAAAACTTTCAACTTGAATAGCTGATTCTATAATATAAGTAGCATTTTTGTTGTAATGCAGTAGCATTTAGTTCTTCAACTCTAATGCTCTTCTGAGTAGAAACAACTCCTATTAGAAGTGTTAGGAGATGCATACACTTGAGAGCTGAAAAATAACTGGAAGATCCTGTTGTGTACAAGAAGAGCTACAGAGATAAAATGCTGTGAATTTTGTTATTGATGCCATGGGAAAAAGCAGCATTTGTTTGACGCCCTACCTTTTAGATCTCTTTCTTTAAACTGAGTAATAGGAAACATCATTGCATCTGCAAGTTGAGTTGAAAGTACTGCATGGCAAGAACTGAGCTGTAAAATAAGGGAGAAAAGGACATTTTTAGGAAAACAGTGCTGAGACTAAGGAAAGTAAGGAAGCAAGAGAGGTTTCACTGAAATTTGATGTACAACTTGAATGTAATTTTTCAAATTCACTTCTGCAGCTACTTCCTTCTAAGGTTCCTTGTTTCACCATCATCTTTACTTAGCAGACTTTCACAGCATAGTATTTTCCCTTATTCCCTCTGTCTGTACTCCACATTGCTGCATCATGTCAGAAGATGGCCTCACACCTTCTGGTGACCAGTCAATTTATTTCTATAGCTTCACTTCAGCTACATCACAGTCCGTCTTTCTCAGGTTACAGAAGATGATCCAAACAAAATGTTCTTTCTATCAAAAAGTACTGTTTAAAGAGAGGAGAGGGATCAGAGGAAAAGTCCTGATTCTTAATGATGCTAAAATATTTTTTCAGAGGAGTCAGTCACTCAGCCTGTTTTCTCATACGGATAGCAAAAGGCTCCTTTGTCAGTCAGGTGTCTGAAATCAGGGAATGCAAATACCCTGATAAGACAGAGGTGTTTTTTAGAATTCTGGTCACTTAACATTCTGTGAAGCTTTTGGTTTTGTAGTTAAACTACCTTGATCCTCAGCAAACGCACTTTGCTGAATGGATTCTTTACCTGTAGGTTATGTAACCCTAAGCTTATACTGCAACAGCAGTTCCACATCATCAAATAAAATTTCTGAACCTCCAATCTGAAGACTACAGTATAAAAAGTCAAAGTGAATGCATGACAAAAAGTAGTAAAGTAAATGAAATAAATGCAAGTGCTTGCCTCATCAATCACTTTTGCAAATTGCTGTAAAGTAGAATTCATAACTTCATCATCTCCCCCTAATGGAAAATGCTGCAAAACAAACACAACAAAACAAAAGGAGGTATGCTGGTTGTCGTGTTTTCTGCCACTCACACAAGTATAATATTCATGTCTAAGAATGTACCAGGTATTTATTTTAAAATGATGCAGTTCAGACACTGTGGGACTACTCTGTGAATCCCCCTTTTTTTCCTTTTAATTGTCTCAGATAAAAAAAAAAAGCTTTTGGAAAACAGTAATACATTCTCCATCACTCCCCCACCCCCCACACCTCTCTCTTCTCTGCCCCTTCTCTTAATCAGATGACAGGATGCATGAGAATGGCACAAGGCTGCATCAGGGGACCTTCAAATTAGATATTAGCTAAAATCTGTTTGCCATGAGTCATTAGGAACGGGAACAGGGCTCCCAGTGAGGTGCCTGATTGATTCCCTAAGCCTGTCAGCATTCAAAAAACATTTGGATAATGCCCTCATTAATATGCTTTAACTTCTGGTTCATCTTTGTAGGTCTTTTCCAACTGAAATATTCTAAAACAACACCAGAAATAAAGTCACCAGAACTTATTAACATTCATCAGAGTAAGAACTGAATTCTGGAAAGCAGTCACAACAGGACACATTTCTCTTCAGCAAACTCTTTGTGCACCATTTTTTCCATGCAGAATGGAAAGCACCTGTGTTTTTACTGAAAGAACTGATATGAAGATAGGCTGATTCTTTTGGCAATGATTTAAGCCACCAACCTTAAGAGTTTGCTTTATCTGAATCAAACCTGAATACATTCTGTATTGTGCTCTGGGAGATAAAAGACTACAAAAATACAGTCCTGACCACACAAGCCAACAGTGATTTATACTGTACCTGTTTCTCATATTCCTTCAGAAGCTTTGAAGTCAGATGAGTTGCTGCACTTAATTCATTCTAATTTAGAAAAAAGAAAGAATCTTGTTACTTCTTAAGCTATTATTTTCCTTTTAAAATATGTGATTTTTTTAATAAATATTGCAGACATGGAACTCATATGCAGGAAGCTGATTACAGACTTTCAGAAAATCTAAGAATTTTGCCCTTTCTTTTCTATAGCAACGATAAGAGCTGCACATAATCAGTATTTACAAATACAAGTTTACAGCTTATACTGTGCACAATGATGTCTGTATTTTTGATGGTATACAATACATATTTGCTTTAATTTATTTCAAATTTGTTCTCCTAAGAACTTGATGTTTGCAAAGGCAAGGAAAGATTACAATGGACTTCAGGACTACCTGGCTACCAACAGCTCTGACTTGTGCACACATGAGAGAAAATGCAAAAATTAAAATAGAAAGGCAATAGTAAAGGAAGACTGATGGTAGTAAGAAAAGCAAGACTAACAAATCAGTAAAGATGTCCAACAGTACAGGTATACAGTAGGTAAAAATACAGCCAGGAACTTAAGTGTTCAGAAAAAACACAAAATAATTTCTGCCTTGGCATGCAAGTAGAGTTACTGACAGATGAGTGAAACAGTATGAATGTACTGTGGATAAAAAATTATCTCCCACTTGGTCCATGCTACTATGCATAGTGAGACCTTCATAGCAAGCAGTTTAGAAATATCTGGGGAATGCAACAAAATGACAAGAAGATAAGAAAGTCTTTTTACTTGTCATAAGAAATTCCGTTGCAAAAGAAATCTTGTGTGACAATCAGAATTCAGATCTCACCACTCCTTAGCACATGGAAAAACAATTTAATGCTGATTTTATAAACATGAAACACTTTCACAGAGTTTAGAAACATATATACTTTGCTTATAAATTTTCCAAAAAAAGCAAGATACACAAAATGTGGTTCAAAAGCTTTATAATGCATTCAGGAATTCAGTGACAGTACCTGTGCATCATATACTCTATGCATTGCTTGAAATAACTGATTGACATAGTTGGAAATTGCAGCAGCATCTTCTTCAAATACTCCCAGCAAAGAACGGGTCTGTAAGAAGGAATCAGACAAACAACATGCCAAGTTAGCAAAGAAGTATTTAAATGCAACAGAATTTCCATGTTAAGCAGCAGTGCTGCAGATTCCTTTCTGAAAAGTTTATGAAGCCTCTCTCACAGCATCCACTGCTGTCTCCAGGAATGCATGTGCTGCATATCAGAGAAAATTATTAGGAAAAAATAAAAAACTGTATTTTAAAATGACATCCAAGCTCAGTCTTGCTGGCACTTCTCCAGGTTAAAGGAGTACGTTGTCAGACAGGACCAAGAGATGAGGATAAGTATTAATTATAAGCATTGGAATTGTGAGCTACTGCTGGTATATCACTATGGTACATCCCCAGGGAAAACTGACTGGAAATAAGCAGTGTGCCAGGTACACATTTCTTCTGCAGAAAGAACAGCTGTGTCTTTGTAGCACTCTCTCTTCTGCACGAGTAGCTGCTGCCTGTGCTGGGATACGTAACTCATCTGCAATAGCAGCCAATTCTGTGTTCAAAAAGCTGAGGAACTGAAAGTAACCAAATCAAATGACAAATAACTGACAGACTCTACATTTTCTTGATACGTAAACTTCTTCCCCCCGTCACTTCACAGTGAGAAGATCTGGCTTTTTGTCTGCTGCCATCAGCCTGCCCTTAGCTGGTGCCACCCACAAATGCACCTCCTGCATAACTTTACAAGTGGTCACTCTATTGCTGCCCACATATTGGTCTTCAAAACACTGATCACTACCATCTAGGTCTAACTATTGTACTATTTTTTCCACCCAGTTGCAGTCTGTACTTCCCTACTTTGGCTGGAAGGAAGTTGCTGTGGACAGATCAGAATCCTGGGGTAAATTGGCACGAATGACATTCCCTGCTCTTGATGAAATGACTGGTTAGACAAGAAGGCAATCAGGTTGCTTAAGGATAATTTGTCCTTAAGGTTAATTAAGATGCTTACTCAGTGCTCTTGCATCTTTGCATTTGGAATCAGTATTAGCAGATAGCTTGGCAAAAGGGAGAAGAGCAGAGAATGTAATGGTAACTGCCTGAGCTATGTCCATGCTTCCTAAGAAACAGCTGTGCAGCACTGCACTAAAATATTGGCTGTGATGCTTGGATGTGAGGCCAATCACTTGCAAAATCCACAAAATAAACTTTTAACTTCTTGGCAAGAAGACTGCGCTTTCGTTTTTAGGTTCATACTAAAAACTAATGTTCAGACAGAAAATGAAGAGAATTGGGACTACATAACAGATTTTTTTAATCCCTCACAAATTGCTGGTTTCAAACACTGGAACTTGTTAATTCTCTTCCTCAGGCTGAGTAACTGTAGGTTCCCTGATTGGAAGTGGATGAAACTTAGGGGGCTTGGGAAGAAAATGAGAGAGCAACACAGGAGATCAGTGGAAAGCACTGGATTGCACTGCATGCAAAACATGGTAATAAAAACTTGAAATGTGCCTTAGAATGTAGCCCATCTCCCCTTGTATTAACATTTATCAAGTGTGTTGTTTGATCACTTGATCATGAAAGCCTCTTATTTAACTCAAATTGATGAGTGGTTGTCCCACAGATGTGATCATACCATATAACTCCTACAGGATACCTTAAGGGAAAGAAACAAACAGTTTACCAACACAGCAAATCACCTTAATGATGGTTCTTGTTTATAAAACAACTGGAAAAAGTGCTGCGGGTGGGTGGAGGAGGAAAGAGGTGAAGAGCTCAGATGGTTACCAGGTGTGGCAACACGGTGTGTCACCCTAATAGCTGTGAGTCTTCCAGACATGAAAGAACACAGAAGAAAAAATTACATAGTACCATAAACACTGAATTATATCCTTATGACCTTTAAACCGAGCATTAACCAACCTGACCCTGCAATTTGAAAGCGTTATCCTGTTTGATTCCTGGGTTGCATTTGCTCTCTAATATTGTATAATAGAGAACACTGCGGAATAAAAGCATTTCTATGGGTTTTAGGGTGAGAATATCAGTTATTGACTTCAAACTGACAATGCTATAATACTGATGGAAAGAAAACTCTGAAATTGAGAAGTTATGACAGATGCTGATTAATAAAAAGTGGAGGAACTGTTTGCTCACATTTCTAGTGAAAAACTGAGGAGCTCTGTGTGCTCCCTACAATGCTTTCATCCCATGTGTATCAGCAGCTGTACTAGAAGCTACCAGTAACAAAACGCACAAGGAAACCACCTGTTTGGAAGTCAGCTGATAAACAATTTGTGTCTTCAGACGTGTTGTATCATAAGAGACATGAGATGTAGTCTGTACTATTGAGTCCTGTGGATTTTTTTGTGGTGCAATAGTTTGGGGCTGCAAATAAGAGAGCAGAAGCTCTCTGAACACATATATATGCACACTGAATATGTGTACAACATATGCACTATCTGAACTGTGCTGCTTTGCTTATTGAAGACAACATAAAATGTCATTTGGTTTATGTCTAAAAAGAGAGTGGTTTGATTTTCATCCTGCACCAAAAGGAAATCAATGGTTTATTCACCATGTCAGAGATCTTCCCTCAGACACAGAGTAAGTTTGATCTGAAGTTTATATGAGTTAGCATCTCAAACACGTATAATGGTACCGAATTGCAGTGCACAGCTCAGCCCTGAGAGACTGTCCAGATCAATGCTCTTTTTTAACATGACAACAGAACAGCACAAACACCCAGATGTGACAACTTTAAAGAAAGCAGAGTTTCCTTTTTCTTCAAGATGTTGTCATTTTCAATGCATTGATTTCAAAATACAAGAAATGAACTGATGTAGTAGAAGACTATGGAACTATAGTTGTATTCCTCTAAGGTGATTACTGAAATCTTAAGTTGGCTGGAAGATAGAAGAATTTTATAGCTCTAGTAGAAAAGGTAATAGTTTAAGTACATCAACAGACAAGGATAGGGCTGAGTGAGGTTTTGCTAGTCTGCATTTATCACAAACAGCACCAAACAGAAGATTCTAGAATTGACAATTATGTTCCAGAATGTAACCTTTTAGCCTGTGCTACCCAAATGGCACTTCAGTCTTATGTGCTTGAAAAAAAGCCACCTCAACGTCCTATTTGATAGGGATCTTATCAAACCAACATTGACATTCCCTATAAATACACAGTTCCAATTTCCATCAACTGAGAACAGATCTTCAATGGACAGTTATGTTAAACTACTATTACTGTGAGACTTGCATATTTTTTTCCTCTTTGTGAGAGTACATCAGGTCTGGTCTCCAGGCCACAGACCTGCAACAAACCAGATCTTGTCTGACATCTGGTACCAGAGCTATATGGGACACTGTCTTTTGGAAAGAAATGACACACCTCCTACACAGCCTTCTTTTCCAAGCTGTCCCTCCACTTGATCTCGATTTGTCACAGTCGTTGTCACTGCCATTATAGGGATTAAAATTCTCTGTTTAGCAACTGGAAGTTTCTATGGCTGAGGAATCAAAACTATCAATGAATATGCTATTGCAGCATTGCTATTACAGCTGTTACAGCACTGGAACTCGTGCTCATCCGCATAAACAATGCAACAAAACAAGGATCTAATTCAAAAGAGTGAATAATTTATACAGATATTCACACCGTAAACTTTTCCATGCCAAAGAAAAGCGGTGGTACAAAGTAACCGCTGTTGTTGCGGGCAGCAAGGGAGACCTGTACTGCAGAATGAAGCATGTTGTGCTTGATAGCAGCGCGAAATAAACGGCCGTGTAGTAGCACGGCATCGCTGACAGAGGTCAAACAGCAGGAATGGAGACGAAGATACCGGAGCAACTGCAGCCATCTCGGCACCGCGCATCTTCCACTTCTCACAGCGGCAAGAAAGGCCACGTTAAAACGTTGGCATATTTCGCGCAAGACGAAGATGACTTAAAAGCCGCTCGAGAAGCGAGGTCGGGCTCTGTCGCTACGAGCGCTTCCAGGTACGCACGGACGCGGCCCCGGGAGCGGCGGCACGAGGGGACGCTCCGCTCCGCCCCGCCCGAAGCTGACGCCGCTCCGCGCCCACGCTCAGCCCGCAGACGGCGATGTGCCGCGCACGGCAGCCGCCACCGCGCCGGGACTGACAGCCCGCAGCGCTCCGAGCCGCGCCGCACGGGCGGACGGAACGCCGGGCCGGGCCTCTCGCTGTGCGCCAGCTGCCGAGACGTTGAGGGGAGCCGCGCTAGGCCTGGCGCTGTCGAGTCAAGCCCGATCTGCCCTCCCCTCATCGAGCTGCTCCCCGCCTCGCTTACCTGAGGGCTGTCTTCCAGCGTCTCCTCGATGGGCAGCTTGTCGATGCCGGGCATGGCGGCCGCGGGACCGATCTACGCCGCTGCTGCTCCCGTTCCCCTCGGCTCGCCCAGCTGGCTGGGCCCCCCCGCAGCGCGACGCGCGACCCCGCCCCGAACCGGATGTCCCTCCCGCCGCCGCCAGCGACCCTTGCAATTGGCTCCGCCGCCCAGCCGCGCGACTCGTTATTGGTCAGCGGGCCCTGCTGTCTGCTCACGGTCCCGTTCCCGCCTCGGTGGCCGCCTGACGGGAGGCGTCTGGCCGTTCTGGTTGTTCTCGCGCGCGCGATGAGCTGCGGGAGCGGGGCCTGGCGCCTCGGGGCGGCGGTACTTGTGTGGGGAGCGCGAGGGGACAGCCGGCACCGCGTCCTGTCATGGTGGGGATGTCCGTCCCGCTCCTGGGGCGGGAGCTCGTTGGGCTGCGCCAGGTTGGTGCGTGCTGCTGTGAGGAGAGGAAGAAACTGCTCCTGAGTTGTCCTTCCTACAGCCCTGCGCCTCGGGGTTGTGCTTTAAGTCACCCCTCTGGGTTAAGCAATTAGTGTTTTAAGGATAGATCTCTGAGGAGGCATAAGCTACGTACAGGTTGTTAATGATGTGTATTTAATTTAAACTGACTTAAAATCAGAAAAATACTGCACAGCAGGCTGTGCGCTCATTCTCGCTCCGACAAAACGACAGCCCGGTCGTGCCGGCTGTTTGCGGACTCAGCTCTGAAGCTGCTGGCTTTCACTTCTGCGTTTCAGAGCGGCTGGAGCTGCTGGAGGTGCCCGTTGGTCGGGAGCGGCTGTTCCTGCCGGCTGTGCCGTCCCGTTCCCGGTGCGCAGCCCGCTGAAGCTGTGCCCCATGGCCCAGGGGAGCGAAGCGCGCACTGCTGTGCTGTGCTGTCAAAAAGCCCTCGCTTTGTGATCTGTCGGGTCACGTTTTACTTCTAAAAACATGAAGACAGGATCTGCAAGCAATTGATGTTGCAGGTTTTTTTTTGTTTGGTTAGTTGGGTTTTTTTCTTCTTTTTTTTTTCTGCCTAGGGAGCAGTGAATAAATGTCACTGCTAGATTTCGGTTCAGTGGGTTCTTGTACCAGCTCATCTGATGACTCATGTGGCTGAGGCAAACCACACTGCTAACTTCCTTATGTACCTATCAAATGAGAGAAATACAGAGTTATCTTACCAGGTTTAAAGGCTAAGCCTTGTATCTTCTTGTTTGATCTTTTGCTTGCTGAGCTCTAACTGGGTCTGTAAGTACGAGCAGGCAATGGCAGTGTTGGCTTGTGACCTATATGCATGTGCACAACTTTCTGGTTTTCATATCAGTTAACTTGTAACCAATTTCTTCTGTAAGAATTGCTCTCTATTTCATGATATATTTGTGTCATTCCCTTAGTAGAACTCAGAAGGGTAGTAAGAGACTGCAAACAGAATTATTTCTAGTTACCTTTGCATTTTTTACAGCTGCAAATGACAGAAAAGACACATTTATTTAGCTCCTATAGAATGAGAAAAACAGCTTTTAAAAACTGAAACTTTTGCAGATATGGAACAGGTTGCCCAGTGAGGTTGTGAAAGCCTCCAGACTGGAGGTGTTCAAGGGGCTTTGAGCAACCTGGTCTGGAGGGAAGTGTCCCTGCCTATAGCAGAGGGGTTGGAACTCAATAGTATTAAAAATCCCTTCCAGCTCAAACCGTTCTGTATCGAAACAAAATGGTAACAGACAAGTTTTTAACATGTAAAAATGTGCTTTGGTATCTTGATTGGCATGTAGCGTGATGTTTCTTGCTTCTGTTGATGTTTCAATTTAATGAATCAGTTCATTTTAGTAGCAAGAGAGAGCCCTTTCTAGTTGTTCTGTAGTGTACTGGAGCTTCTTCTATTTCATAGTTAGGTTTCTAAATAGGTCCCTTAAATGGAAACAATCAATAATTCTCTCGTACGTTGATATATTTGTAAAAATATACACAAGGCATTTAAAAGTTTTATTTGGGATATATATTTGGCTGCAATGGAGGAGATTGGATAGCAATGAACTGAGGAATCCGTAAGAATCCACTAATGAGCATGTTTTTAGTGTTACGCTTCTACCAGAATTGTAAACTTTCTTAGTGTGTATGACTCTTCCTTTTTCTCTGTAAGTGTGGAGAACTAATACTTGGCACTATATAAACAGGGAGAAGAGCAGCCACCAGCTCTTTTAAGGATTTCAGATGTGTCCCTAATGGAGAGAACTTTGGCTCTGCTACGGAGTGGAATTAGCTGTCTGGATCAGGTAGGCTTTATTTGCATGTTACACGTTAACAAGCATGCTGTTTCTTCTGATACCCTTGGATTTACCTTGAATTTATGTTGTGTTTGCCCCAGATCAAAGTAGCTTTCACTTACCTAAGGAGCAGCTAACTGCTCTCATTGTGCTTTGAAAAAAATGATGTTGAAGGTATTAAGGTATTGTTGCAAAAACAAACAAACAAAAAAAAACTTCACAGTTTTGTAGTTGGCTTTGAGTATAATCTCTGTAATTAATGTTCAAAACAAATTTGAAAGGTCGATCTGTGCAGCAAAATGTCTAAGGTGGTGCTACACTTGGGTAAAAGAGCTGTGGGAAAGGTGAGATGAAAGGCAATTTTCTGTGTGATAAGTATATCAAGAAAGATTACGTGTGCTGTTCATAGTGTTCCAAAGGCTGAAAATGCAGCACAGGCTGTTGTGAAAGGTGACCTGACAGCGGAGTTGCAATGGGTGCTAGTGGCAATTCTTAGCATCCGCTCGAGAGACGAACGCTGCTGTCCCTGGGCCAAGAACAGGTGGTTTAAGATCTGCAAGGGATATGAATTTCTGCTTCATCAAGTGTGAATTCTATTAGAAGATTGTTTTGGCATATTCAAAGAACAGTGATTTCTCCTGTGATTGATTTTTGTCGCCCAGGGTTTTCACTGGAAAGCTTCTTGTGCTGCTCTCATTGTTCCTGCAAACATATTTAGGCAAAGCTGTTCTTATGGGTTGCAAGGGCAGAACTGCTCGTTTGGCTAGGATGATGAGATAAAATTTTTGAATGAAGAATCAAGCATGAATTATACTTGCAGTGTCAATTCCTGGAAATGGAATCCAAATCTTTGCTATCAAATTCTGCTGCTTTAGAATCATAGAATGGCTTGAGTTTAAAACTAATTGCGTTTTCTGCTCTATCATGTTTTTATCCTCATTTCTTGTGTAAAAAGCTTTGTTTATTTTTTTTTCTTATGACAAATTGCTTTCTTCTACAGTTTAGCAGTCTTCTCTTTAAAGAAATATAACACCACTTGGTTGTTAGATCTTCAGCCAGTCTTTCCAGTAGACTTACTCATTTCGTTTTGGTGTTAATACAAACTTGTTACCTTTAGAATAAATTCTCTTTTCATGTGAGATTTTCGTAACAGTCGTATGGATTTACACTAAAACTGTAAGGGTCCCTTAGGTGTGTGGTGTTTCATTTTCACTGCATTCCTCAAATTAGGGAGCACTGTGAGCAGTTACCCTGGGAACTTCTGAATAGGTGCTTCCAGTTCCTATGTGGAGTTGCAGCCATGCACGGTTTCAAAGCAGTGTTGGTGTGTTTGTTACTGCGCTGCAGTCTCCAGGTCTGATTCAATTCAACTTTGAGCAAGTTAATATCATAATTTTAATAGTAAGTTTCCTATTCAGAGAACGTTGTTGAACAAATGTAGCAGCTGAGCAAACACAAACACCAGATGGCAGTATTTGATTAGTTTCTGACCTCTGCCTTTCAAATCCATTCCATGTTTTTTGACTTACTTTATTAAACCTACTTTTGAGAGCGGCTGAGATCTTTTTCTTGAAAAGTCCTTAAGATAAACAAAGAAATAAACCCTGAATGAATGTGAACCTCCAACTGGGAGCTCAAAGCAAACTACGCTGTCCTCCACAGTCTCAGAGAGACCAAAACGAGTTACAGCTACTTGGTTAGTGTAATGGCTTGTTTTGTGGAGGAGTGTGCTTCCTCAATACTACTTCTACCTCCATGTACCTTTTGTGGCAGTTCTTGGTAGCTTCTGAAGAGATCATGCCTATGAAGGCAGTTAGCAGTTTGGGATTTGATCTATATGCTAATCTGACTGTAAACCATGTAGTTTAAGTAAATCTAATTTCTATTCATTATGGTGAAATGAATATTTTCTGAAATGTTTTGTGTATGTTCTTTTATAAAATTAAAAAAAACACCAAAACTCCAACACACCTATACATAGGTAGTCGTCTGTATTTGGAAGCCAGCTTCATTTGCACTCATTAAGAGGTGTTCTTTTTATTATTAAAGTCCACATTTGTTTCTGAATTCAAGACACTGTCTATCAGAAATCGTGCTTCAAACTTCAGGATAGAGAAATTGATAAGTGGCACCAAATTCATTACAGGATCTGTACTGATTTCTTTTTGACTTGTTATATTTTGGGTGTTTTTTCTTCTTAAAGTTGGTGTTTCATCTAGAAACTGTAGAGGCAGAAAACTGATTTATCAATTGCTTGGGATGCAAGAGCCTTAGCTTTATCTCTTTAGCAACCTCTCAACTTGGTGTGTTGTCAAAAGTCTGCAGTCAAGGAAAGAAGCTCCGTTGTTCATCTGGGATCTCAGTTGATGTTGCATTAGGACCAGCTATAGTTAAATATACAGGGCTGTAAGGCCCTCGTTTCCCACTGACTACTGATTCATTGGGTACATCATCATGAAACTTCTGGACAGATGAGACTCCTCCAGAGGCTACCAGTGTGTTACAGATTCCTGTGAAAACAGTGATGGTTCTGTTATGCTGTGATCTTGACACTCTGGAAATTTCCAGTTAGGAAAAGTTATGTCAGCTGCTCTGCAGTTTTCTGAAAACTGACACTGGGTTTCCTTCAGAAAAGAGTGTTTGAGCATTAAGGAGAACCTGAGGGAAAATTTTGGCAGTTAAGCATTTCTTTCTTCAGGTTCAGACCTTACCCAACATACAAACCGCATGTTCTTTTTGCCTCAAGTCTTCATATACATTCATAAAACATCATTAGTTTAGTACAGAAGATTAACTCTAAATGCTGTCAATATGTTCTTGGAATTCTCAGTTTTCATGTTCTGCCATGGCTCTTTAATTGGATTTCTAAGCCAGCTTTCTTAGCAGCTGGGTTTGGACAGGCTAGCAGAACTTGCGCTTTGCTCAGGAAGTTGTGGAAGTGTGGATCATGGAAATGAGGACAGCTTTACTCAGAGATGAGTCCTATGGGCCTTGCTACTCCTCCTCGATGCTGATCAGAAGGCATGTCAGTAGCCAGTGAGCTGCTTATACGGGTTTGTATGATTTTTCTTCTGTGTATACTTTGTAGTTGCTGAGGCTGCCAAATGGGGTTTGGAGCTCAGCTCGCAGGTGGTCACTGCGTTTATTCTGCTGCCCCTTCAAAATGTGTTGATGTGTTGATAAGGTGTCTTGGTGAGATCACTGCTTGAATCACTTCTGAGTCAGTCCAGCAAGTCAATGTCATGCAGCTGAATGTCATTCTGATATAAAATAACGTATGATTCTATTTTTCACACTAGAATCTCCCTCAACTCTGCACCACCAGTTCCATGCTGTGCTGTTTCCCTACAAGTTTTCCTGCTTCTGTTATTCCTAAAGATTTATCTTAGGCAGTTTACAAATGAACAGTATCTGTACCTTGATTTTCTGTATTTTTCTTTGTATAACTTGTTATCCATGAGAATATGACTGACTACACAGAATAAACTACTCTCAGTAAATGGTAACACAAGAACAAAAGGGTGAGATTTTTCCTCTGAAAGGTCCAATCCTACATCACATGCTCCAAAGTTATATTTTAGAGGGCTAAAATTTGCTTTCTGAAAGAAAAGCATTGCTTGCAGTTTTGTATTTATCACATAGCTGTATCTAAAATACAAAAAGAGGTTTTCATGAATGAGAAGTTGTTACTGACCATGTGTAAATGGCCAGTAGTTGAGTTTGAAAATGTTACAGCTGATGCTTTCTTTATAATGAGTGAAATCAGTGATCTTTTCAAACCTTGAACTTGAAAAGAAATGCTTGAAATCCTTCATCACCATTACACATGATTTTTGGTCGTTTTAAGTATGTGCTCTGTGGAATAATTTCTGTTGGTTATAAACCCACTTACAGGAAAGAAGAAACACCTAGCAGGTCAAGGGTGTTAAAACCTGTACACTCATGTGTGTGGCCAGTATTACTTCAGGTTTTGTTTTTATTTTGTATAGTCTGATCAGGAAATGTCACAGATGGTATCCTTCAAAAAGGCTGCGACAAAGCTATTTTAATAAGAAAAATGAATGTCTGAATTATTTAAAATAGTTGGTGCAACTGTTACTGCTAACTAATCCAGGCACTTGGAAGGCAATTACACTGAGCTTTGACAACATTGCCAACCCACTGCACAGAGCCTCATGCCAAAAGCTATTGTTGTTTTATTGACCACGTTCGCCATTACATATGCATATGAAAAAACAGAGGCATTTTCATTGGGATTAGCCTAATAGCATTAAGAGATTATTTTTTAAATTTCCTTGGAAGGAAATGCACTTAAATGAGATTACTTATTACTTGACTGGTTTCCTATCGTGCTGCTATGTTTAGGTAAGTGGAGTCCATTAGAGTATAAAGTTTTTTTTAAAAAAACTGATTTTATACATTAATGATTTCGAATAAAAGAGAAGTCCTATATTTGTGCATAGCTTCTTTTGAGAAAGTTAAGTCGATGTTCTGGTTAGGAGAGATAACACTTCTTGTCCCTCTTGGTGGCCCCCCTAGTGTCACCATTAGTTGCTAATTACTTGCAAACAAATAAACAATTAACTCCTCGTGCCTCTTGGTGGGAGAGTTTTCATTGACATGCTAAAACTTTCTAATAAAAGATTTAATTAATGACGTTGCAAATCCAACCCCCTTGTCAACATAGCTATAAGGAGGACTTCAGGAGAAATGCAAGTACAGTGTGTGTGCTGTGCTGGCTGAAGGTGAAACCATGGCAAGTACATCGCTGTGTGCAGCTAATCCATCAGCATCTCAGAATCTTCAGAAGGTGTCTGGTTTTGTAGAAAATAAAACCACACAGTGCTCATTTTCCATCGAAAGTATTTTAGGATTGGAGCAGAAGAAGGATGGCATTGCAGCAGTGAAACCTCACAGACCGTGGATGGATGCATGCACCAACTTGGGTAAGCCAGCAGTCTGTTTTGTAACCTCTCAGGCTTTTACTCCTTTTAAAAATAGATGCAGTCATGTTTCTACTGAAAATCGGTAACATGAAGGTCACATTTACTTGCTTTTTCCAGTTTTAGGTGATGACAGTAATTCCCATCTGCAAATCCCTGTTGTTTCCTATGAAAATTCATTATTCCATGCTAACAGCAATACAGTGCAAGAGGAAAAAGTTTTGAAATGTGACAAATATTTTTCAGTCACTGAAAGGCTATCTTTCAAACGAGAATTGAGCTGGTACAGGGGTAGAAGACCAAGAACTGCTTTCACTAGAAGCCAGGTATGGATTTTCTTACTATCTGATGAATCAGCAACGATGTAGTTTAGAAAACTTGGCAGAAGCCTCTAATAGCTGACTAATTCAGTACTGTGTACTTCTCTGTAGAAAAATGTAATTAAGCACTTGTGTAAATTTGGTTATGTTGCTAACTTCAGCAGACTGGTATTTCTGCATGAAATCAGAACTGCCCAAGCACAATTCAGAGGTCTCCTATAAAACAAACTAAAATGGTATTCTTAGCTCTTATAAAGGTAGTGACAATCACTCAATGAGTGTATTTTAATTTCCTCAGATTGAAGTCTTGGAAAATGTTTTTAAAATGAACTCCTACCCTGGCATTGATATCAGAGAAGAATTAGCTCGCAAGCTAGATTTAGATGAAGACAGGATCCAGGTAATTAAATTTTTACTTGAAAATATCCATATTTCCTTCCATATATACTCTCAGTCAGTGTAAATAGGTAGATTATCAGTGTAGCAATAATTTTGATGTCAGCATAAAATAATGTGCATTTCTGGTATGCCTGAAGTGATTCATGAAATGGATGCCATCAAATTCCTTCTGAAATCTTAAGCCTTGTTCCGTGGCATTGGTGAGACACTTGGCACAGTGAAATTTCTGCAGTTTCTGCTTTTCTAATCTCCAATCCTTTGCTCCCAGGTCCTAAAATCATGTTTATTATGCTTGGCAACATAGTTTAAAACATAATTTGAAATCAATTTTGAAATAATTTGTATGAAAATATGTTTGTGTTTTGGGAGTGGTGGGAGAGCATAAGTGCATTAAACCAGTATTTGAGACAATGTCATTCATCTGGCCAAAAGCAAAATCAACTCAGGGCCTTAATTACTGATTTCTAACAACTCATATGTGATAAGCATACAATAAGAATTCAAATTTGATATTTATTGGTATTTATTATGCTTTTGATGCCATTCATGTTTGGCTTAATGGGAAGCTTGATGTTGCACTTCATCAAGCAGTTGAAGTAACACCTGAAGACGTGTGTGAATTCCAGATGTTCAGGAATTCTGAACAGGATCTGAGTGTCACCAAAGTTGATATTTGTGTTTTTGTGGGTGAAGCTGATTCTCTTTCTCCAGTGAAGCTGAAGGCATTATTTTCTTAGTCTGAATTTGTGCCGGTCATCAACTGAAAATTCTGACCTTCTATGAAACTTCCAAATTACTGACAAAATACTGTAGGGTTGTGTGAATGCTTTTGCACTTCAAAGCCCGCTCTGTTTACAGCGCTGTGTTTCTGAAAAAGATGCCTTTTATTTCCATTTTAGATCTGGTTCCAGAACCGTCGTGCAAAACTGAAGAGATCACACCGAGAATCCCAGTTTCTAATGGTGAAAAGTAACTTCACCTCCAGCCTGCTAGAGTAGGAGAAGGATGGTTTGCCTTTATTTTACTGTAACAGGACTTGAAGAATTACTGGCGTTGTCATTATTTGTATTAAACAATGATCATATATCAATTATGATTTTATCCCTAGATTTGAAGGATTATGATTTTTCACTCAAACTGTAAATATGTGAAGTATTATAAACTAATTTTTGTGGAGAAAGTGAACTTTTCCTATATATTTTAATAAATATGTTCAGAAAAGTTTAGATATTTTTTGCAGTTAAAAAATAAACTGTAAGTTCTGAGTTGTGTAAGATTTTCAGCTACTATGAAGTACTTCAGGCTTCACTGAAGGCAACTAAGATCCCTACTTTTAAAGCCTATAATTCTTAACATGCAAAATAGTTTTTTATACGTGAAACAGATTAGCTATTTACATTCTAATGAACAGATTTTAAGAAGAGTATGACCTCATTTTCTAAAACGTTGCTCTCCATGAAAATAAATGGACTGGTATTAAACTGGTTTCAGTTTGAACAATTGTTTCATTAAAATAAGCTTAAAACTGTAATCTTTTTAATATATTTTAATTCATTTCTGTTTAGAATATTATTTGTCTACTTGTCTACTTAGTGCTTCAATTCAGATATCTCCTCTCTTCTCAGTGTGAACCAGGTGTAAGGCTATTCTGAGTTTTTATACATGGCTGACATGAATAATAGGTTTTATTCTGAAGCAAACTATATCTGTAATAATCAAAGAACTGAACTGAATTGTTTCATCTGGTACAAAGAAAATGGTTTTAATATACAAGATGGAAAAGCAAGAAAGTACTATAGGACAAAGCTTTAAAAATTTATAAATCTTAAACTAGCAATTTCTTCTTGAAGTAATGTCTAGCTACTGAGCTGTTACATATTCTGGTGTTGGTTTCCAGATTTCTTGAGGAAACAGTTGTTTTGTATGAAGTACTTTGATATTCACTGGAGGGAAGAACTGAAGCCCAAGTCTTCAGGCTCGGTTACCAGGCTGATGCAGGCCCTGGCATTTAGTTTCTATTAGAATCACTCACAAGGACATGAAGGAAGAATGCTACTGTCAGTATAGGTTAAATGTGATAACAAACAAAAGGCAGTGAGGGAAACATGGAAAAAACGGTGTAAGTTCTTCTACTTTCTAGTTGTCCAAATGCAGTTAGGTTAGTGCTCCAGGTTGGTGTTAAAACTTTTGAAGACCTATCTTAACTGCTTCCAGACCATTCTTGATCACTACACCCCTTCCTAACATGTGCTCTCCTCTTCCTTTAGCTTAAGATCTTCCTTAGAAATCTATTCTATTTTTCAGTTTTAGTAATGGATGATTTAATGTAGTTTTGAATGTTTGTAAAGTATTTCAAAGTGCAGCTTAGCTTAGGATTTTACCAGATATATCATACCCATTATGTCATTAAAAACAAACAAAATACAACTCTATGGGCTTATTGCCTTCCTTTTCATAGAAGCCCAGAAATCTCAAATTGCTTGATTTTTCTTCTTGAAAACCTATTTCAGTGTGGAAATAAGAAACTTTTACTTAATATTGAAATGTTAACTATTTGTGCTTCGAATTCAGGAAGTAACATTAGCATTTAATATTACTAACTGAACTTCTATTTCTCTTAATCATTTTTGGATAGAGCATTTTAAATGGCACCAAATCTATTAGAAATAGTTCTAGAGAAAGAAGAAGTTCTATTCAGATGCAGACCTGAGCTGAGCTGAAGACAATATTGGAAATGGGAGAGTTCTCTTTTGGCTTTCTTTTCACCTCAAGACATGGAGTACCTGTAGCTTAACTTTAGTGCAAGTAATTTGAAACTATTGTTTACCTTTCTGCTGGAAACAAGGTCTCCAACAGCAACAGATTAGACTAATCTGTACAGACCAATGCCTAAGAACCTTACTCTATTATCTGGCAAATACCTAAATGCACCTAATGTCTGCTATAATGGAACTTGTCTCAAGTGACGGAAGTCTGACAAAGCAATTTAAGAGGAGTGGAATAATAGCAGCAGCAGCAGCTCTGGTATCCAGCTCTCAATTAGCAAGTGTTACTAGAGGAATGGCTTGCTCAGTTCTACATAGCATTGTGAGGAGCAAAAGTCAGATAACATGATTGTGTTATTTCTTTAATCTTGGCTTACATTGTTCTTCCTAAAGTAAATACATCAACCAATTAAAGGAGAACCCTTAACTTCACATATATGCCGATTTTGACCACCTTGGGTCTAAACTGTGGCAAAGACTTTCTTGTATATAGTTAAATTTCTTTTCTATCTTAAAATATTATTTTGTACTTCACAGTCCTTGCTAATCTTGCCGATAATATGCAGCTTTCTGAATGACCTCAGTAGTACATGTAATACTGTTAGCTATCTGAGCACAGCTGGTCCTGGTAAGAATAGTGCATGAGACTGTCACAAGCACATGTTGAAATCTGGTGCCATTCCAGTTTTGTATACTTTGTCTTTTGATGCTTCTGTTTATCTGCTTTTCAGAACTGTGATCAGAAAAACCTCAGTCATCTTATTTCCTCATTTGACTTCAGGTTTGTGAAGCCAAAACTTCCTTTTCTTCTTCCAACCATTTTGCGTTGGCTCAAGAGCTCATTTGACCCTGTGACCCTGAGATGAGTTCTTACAATTACAAAGACAGTGAAAACATCCAGCAAGAAAGCTGGCTTGTGGTAAGACTTCCCTGTTCTGGTATTGGCAAGCTGTGATGTCAGCATTTGTCAACAGCTGTAATTTAGGTTAGTGATAAATTGATGAAGCTCTCCTAGAACTGATTGAAATGGCACTTAAACATGCTAGTAGTGCTTTCCTGAAATAGGGTCCTGTGCCAGTGGCCATAATCGGGATGCTGGGCTGTGTAATTATTTGTTTGAAATTGACTTTCTTCTCTTTCTTGATGTCGCAAGCTTAAAAAACTTTTCTAGACATGAACTTCATTAGTGGCTGTTGCCATCCAAAAAAGATGATCTGTGTTCATGGCCTGAAGGCATACCCAAATCACACAACAGCTGCTTCCTAGGTTCTGTTCTAATATTATTACTTGCAGCATATGTGAGAGCATAGTTTGAAACATTCTTTAAATTACCAATATTAGATTTTTAAAGCCTACATTTATAACGCTTTTGAACTTAGAATTTTGTATTGGCAGTTATTTGATTTACCAAGTCTGTGATTACAAACAGCAAGCTTGTACCCCAGCAAGCTCTATTACAATTTTCCTACTGGGTGTAAGTATGTCTGCATTTTTCTCATTCAAAGTTCTGTATTGAAAATACTTCTAAAGCAACAAAACCCAGGGTGTTTTACAGTTCCACAGAAGAAGGATAATGCTGTGTTCTTATTTAAAGTAAATGAGGCCTCAAAACTTCACCCAAGCATTTCTATGGCTGGATTTAACAAAGAACTTTTTTACCAAACATTGAAATTAAGGTAATTTCAAATAGTTGAGATTAATTCTCAGGGCTGACTAGTGATAAAAAAAATAAAATAAAATCGAAGCTTCTTAGAAATTTCTTGTAAAATAATGTTTGTTATGATTTTTTGGCTAGAAGTGGTTTCTCTATCAGTTGTCAGGTTGATGCTTTTTATCACTTAATTTTATAGGATTTACTATTATGTAATTAGCTCATTATGTGGGGAGGTGCTGGGGCTGCTGAATATCTCCGGGGTGGGGAGGAGAGAGGAAGGGTTCTATCTGATTGCACCACAAAGGAACTTGGTGGGATCGTAATGGGCAAACAGTTGTTGGCAGGGATGGTAATCCGGGGTTGTGGAAGAGCCATCAGTTCCAGATTCCTTTCTGAGGAAATAGACCCCACACTTAGGTGAGGTGAAGGAGAAAGGGAGACAAAAGGTGGAAGAGCTCTCTTTTCTTCTGGGTACCCAAATTAAACATATATTTATTGAATTTATAAGAAGGCATAAACTTCTAAAAACTTGTTTTTGCAGGATGTTTATCCTCACTGAGGTAAGAATATAACAAAAAATGCTTAGGTATATAGAATCATTGAGGCTGGAAAAGACCTCCATGGTCACCTGGTCCAACCAGCAGCCAATACCACCATGCCCTCTAAACCATGTCCCTTAGTGCCACTTCTACTCGTTTCTTGAACACTTTCAAGGATGGTGACTGCACACACATGGTTTTGGCCTAATTCTGGTATAATTGTCAATAATAGCAAACTGTCACAACATCATGTCTGTAAATTTACATCAACGTAGTTATTGTATCTTGTTTAATACTTTCTTGTTCTTTAGCAGTTGTTATTTTAATACTTTTATTGTGGTTGCTGTTTGTCCACGTTGTCTAGAATCTTGCCTACATATAACCAATTTATGCTTAATATGTTAACTGAAAATAAATACTATACCCTTTAATGATATATTTCACGCTTTTAATACTTAGATTTATATTAACAACCACAGTAATGTTCAAAAACATCCTGGGATTCAGTTTGTGTGATTGATGCTGTTAAAGAAATTAAGACGACAGCAAATCAAATATTCTGCATTAGAGGCTGTTGACTATTTATAAACTGCGCCTTAATCTTTTTTTTTTTTTCTTTTTTTTTTTTTCCCCCAGATCAGACCAGCATTTAAATTCATAAATACTGAAGCAGTTATTCAGTATTTCAAATACAGCTGAAAATGGTGGGCTACTTTTGCCCTCTTGTGGCTGGAGCATAGAATTACAGTTCTACATCTTAAGTTTGGGTGGTGTCTGCAATCACGAGGTAGGCTGTTTGTAGAATGCCTGCTGATTGCTAAATTGTAGTACAACGAAGATTTAGTTACAGTCTGTATCTGTGTATGAATGCTTTACCTTGTGTCTGCTTTTCAAAAACTCAGGATGGGCTCTGTTGAATTGAACCCAGTGGAAATTGGTAGGTTCTTAGTATTTTTGATAGTCTGAACATTTATTAGATATTAACTTCAGAATTCAGTTTGGGGCAACCTTTTACAGCCTTCTAAATCATTAAGGCTGCATTCATGGGTATGTGATTACAGCACTACAAAATGCAGTCCATTTATAGCAGCAGAATTGTTTTATATCTGTGAAAGCATCAAGTAGTTCTAAAAGAAACAAAAAATACCCCACCCTTACAATGGAACCATAGAACGACTTTGCTACAGTGTCTACTAATGTAATTCTTCTGTGATAACAAATGCGAACTTGAGAATGCAGATGTTTGGCATGCAAAAGGGCTGATGACCACCTGCTTTTTTTCTATAAAACTGTTTCATCGCATTAGAACGATAAGAAATGGCATTGTACTGCTTACATACTATACATCTGTTATGGTTTGACTTGCATTTCAGTATGTTTAGTTGGGTTAAAAAATTAAAAATGTGGTGTTGTCACTTCTATTTCTTTCTTGATTTGAATATTTCTAAGTTACTGACTGGATAGGGATATATGTGTACTTCTCACTTCAAAGGTGGGACAACATCTCATTCCACGCTACAGGATGTGGCTAACTGACAATATAATTGCAAATTGCTCTTAATTCGTTTTGACAGGGAAAGGAAGTCAAAAGGAAACAGTCTAATGAGGCTTCCTCACCACTCTTAAAATGCAGTTGTCTGGCTAAATGTTTTTGTGAAACTCAAGTAGGTTATGTAAAAAAGCTTTTCTTGTAGTTATTCTTGCTTAAGTGAGCTTTTTTCCCCTCTTGATTCTATGATCATACTCTGCTGGACAGTAAGGTCTATCACAAACAGCAGCTCTATTGGAGTGTTCTGGTCAGTGATTCCTAATGTTACCATCTAACCACAAGCAAATCATAATTATTGTAACTTACTGTTAATGTGCATTATCTTTCTCTGCAAGCATTAATAGATCTTTGTTTTATCAATGTTTCATTAATTGATCTGGGTTTTATCAATCCATTGTCTGGATATTTATATTACTCTTTTCAAAAACAAGCAACTGAATCAATCCTAGTATCCGAGTGCTTCAATCTTTTCTTGCAACAACGTGCCAAACTGTAGATATGGGGGATATATTAAGTTGTTTGCTTGAAAAGTAGGGCTATCAGCAGTAACCGTTATTCCTAGCAGGGCCTTTCCTCTTTGGTTAGTGCAGTTCTGTAGAATTGCTGTAGAATTCTTTTGTAAATCTGCCATGAAGTGTTCTAGCTTTTTCTCTGAAATGCTGTTATGTATCTGTCATATAAACAGACTACAATTTCCATATGTGTCTACATTTTCATTTGCTTGTATTTTTCCCTTAGTGGGAGTAGAATGAAGTGCTATTGACAGACTGCTTTCCAATCGTCTTCCACAGCAGTTACACAACAGTAGGACTTTGCAATTCTTCCGGAAATGCTCCAATTGTTCTGTAATGGTATCTGTTAGTAGTCTCTCTGTTTTAATCACAAAAATCTTCAAAACATTTTCTTTAGCCTTAATTACACTTAGCTGTTGGCCTCAAATAAGGAATGATGTCATCTTGAAGTGCTTGAACAAATTGCTCTCTTCTTGGTTAAAAGGGAAGAGGTTTAAGGCAGGTTATGCTCAGCCAGGGGTCCCTTAGTGTGCTGGGATTACTTTCACAGACACGGCCTCAGGATGCTGCAGATCGCTGAATTTCGGGATAGGCTGTTAAGTCAGCTCCCCCCCACCCAGGCACTTATTTCACTGCCGATGGAAAATGGCAAGATGTCTTTGTGGAAGGGATTGTGCTGCATTAAGAAGTTGAGATTAAAGGTAAACCCAAGAAACTTTTGAAAAAGCATTACTTTATTTACAATTCTAGCGAGTATTCCAATGGCATCAGAGGAGGCTTCGTTTGCTGTTTTAATGGTTGGCTGAACTGAAATGCCGGTATTGCAGAAAAATATTTTGACTCGAAATAATGACTCAAATATTTCTAAAGAATAAAACATGCATCACTTAAGAATACAGTTGTTGGATTGCAATGTTTCAAGTTCAGTGGATTTTTTTATCCAAAAGAAAAGTCACTCTTCTGTGCAATTTTTAATTTTCTTGGCATTGCAAATCTGTTTTTCTCTTAATATGTAGTTTCATATAACACCTAATCCAGTGTGACAGAAGACTGCTGCTGAAAGATGCAGTCCTGCTCTGCTCCCTCTTTTCTGCGAAAAGATCACGTGGCCACAGGATGAGTCAATTCAGCTTGCTTGTGTAACAGAGAGAAGTGAATTTGGTGGCAGGTCAGTTAGTTGAAAGATCTCAGAACTGAGCTGTCTGTCTGTGCCTTTATTATATTCATATGAATAACCAGATACAAAACTAAACATGTGCAAAACTGAATAGAAATAGAGTTCAAATTTGACTGCAGATCCTTCCTGCCAGCAGACTAAGTTGTTGGCCTGTGTACTCTCTCACAAGGAACTGTGAGGTCTGGGGAATGGTGATATTATACAAGGATTTGTATTCATGGATTGCCGACAAACAGTTGTTTTGATAATGAGCAGAAGTCATTTGTGTATAGTAAGTAGTTTATTTCAATCAATTCCTTTTCATCTTTACATCTGATGCTAACTTGAGCCTTTGGGAATATAGAACTGGAAAAACTTCCTTGGTCATTAAGTGTAATTTCCTGTAGAAGACATTAAGTCATCCAGAAAGGTCACCAGACTATTCACTCTACTCTCTGAACTCTACAAACCTCAAAACATCCCCAAATACCTGAAGATAGACTTGAGATATTTAAGAAGAAAGCTCAAGAATGAGAATGTGATAGAAAGTGATTGGGGGAAGATGTGGCTGCCTGCACCCTACAAGGAATTCAGTAAGGCTTAGCTTATTCAGCATGAAGGATGCTGAACTACAGGATTTGTTGTGAAGCATCTGGGTATAGAAGTAGTGGCCAAAGTGGTTTGCCAGTGTCAAAGCAAATGTAGCAGAATTCATGCATCCAATTCCACTTTCAAGTCCCACGTGGACACAGCAGCAGCTAATCTGGAAGTGCCAATAAGTGCTTGGATGCAGCAGGAGGCAGTTGGCTGCCAGGGTGGTGTGCTGTGCTCCTCTTTGCCCCCTCAGGGCACAAGCAGGCTCTTGGATGGACTTATTCTGGAGGATCTGGCCTCCACAGCCCACGCTGTTTTACGTGCCCAGTGATAATGTCTAGATGACCTTAGGAAGTAGATTGTGCGTCTCTAGAAAGAAGCAAATTAAAACCAAAACCCATTACCCCCAGGGGTCTCTTCCTGTCTTAGTAGGGGGCAGAGTCTTTCCTGACTCCAAATCTAATTATTGGTTTAGCCTCGAGCATGTGTGCAAGATGTTAAAACAGGCATATTTACGACTCTCTTTACGTTTCTGAATCTATAAAATGGGAATAGTAAGGCGGATCTTCCTTTCAGAACTCTTTTCTTTCTTCTTCATTAATATTGGCACATTTATCAAGACCTGGTGGTTTAAAAGAGAGAACCATTAATGGCAATAGATGCATTTAAATTAAATTTCAATTTCATCATCTGGGATCATATAGCTGATAATCTTTTGCTTGAGGTTAACCAGATCTTTTGAAACTATGGCATGTTACAATCTGGAAGACACTACCACAGTACAATTTTTGTGACTCCTGAATGCTTCTGGGAACATTGCTTTCACTCATTTTTTTCTGAATTAGTTCTTAAGGTTTGATACTGGATGGTCTTTAGCTGCCTGACACCAGTGGATATGTCCACAGGCATGGTGCATGCTTCCTGGCCTACAGCTGAGAGCTGAGCTCTTTTCTTAACTCCTTCCTTGTGCAGCCAAGGTCGGTCTCTCCTGGGAGAAAGATTTAAATGTTAGAAATACAAAAGATGGATGGAGGACACAGCTTCCAAATCTAAGGAGGCTTTATTGCTATTATTTTGCAACTGATGGAAATAGTTGGTAGGAAAATCCTAACTATACAGCAGCACTCTTTGTTACTTGAGTTTCCACATTTTTCTAGGCCCAGCCGAGTTCCCACTGTCCCCTCCATCTGGGAACAGCTGCCCGGAAAGGAGGGGGAAAAAAAAAGGGTTCTTAGCTTTAAGCAAGACGCTTGAGGTTTGGTTGTAGTGGCAACCAAAACCAGCTGTAGAATGCATTATATTGATACCCATGACTTAGATATATCCTCCAACTGGTATGTTGTACTATGTTGAAACAGGAGACTGTTGTAAGGACAAAAGAGCCTGCAGGAAAGCAGTCCCCACAGTCACTTTTGTCCTTACATTAGCTAGCAGCATTTTAGAGAATCTAAGTGGAAATTTTAACTGTCATTTGATTCCCACCTCTCTTCTATCCTTTTCCACAAAACTTCTCAGTGGAAGTTACTCTAAATGCACACAAAGCAATAAAATGCTTCTGCACGCAGTCCCAAAAAGCAACACAATCCTTCTGTGTGCAGTCACTGCATTCACGTTGGTAAG